GATTTCACTCTACATTCATTCACAAACCAAGGCAACTTTATACAGTAAGAACTGGTGAAGACCACATTCCTCAGCATTAGAATCTGAGCCCAACAGGCACTTCTGAGTATACAATGACCATTAATTTCCTGCCTTTGTATTAAATTTAAAAGAAAATCGAGTTGTGGGGAGTGCTTTGAGACTCCCATATGGAAAGTAAGAATTCCATTATTTCCATCCTATTTTCATTTATCTCTTTGAGTAACAAGACTTCCTAATATAATGACTGGTCACCGCAAATTAAAACAAAAGATAAAAATAATTTGGACCCAAATATATATCCATTCATGGAAACATGGCTTGCTCTTTTACCATATGAAGGTTTGTTATCCACTGGCAATTTCTGAACATTTTTACACTAGCATTCATAAATGCATACACATGCAAATTTTTACAGCTAACATGGGCAAATTCTAGGCAAAGGCAATGCTGAGATTTAAAATGATAGAGTCATAAAATGCATTAGGTTGTAAAGCCTATCTAACCGCTAATAAAAATATGCCAAAGCTTGGGAAACTGATCCAATGCAATTCAGTTTGGAATTATATTATAACTTTGACATGCAACTAGAGGGAACATATTGTGTCCAGGCAGTGGGAGTAATGGGTATTACTTCCAGGTTATTTACTCTCCATCCCTGGATATTCATTCCTTTGCCATGTCCATAGGATCCCCATCACCCCAGCCCCAGTGTCAGAGGATACATTTGTCTTGCTCTGAGAAGTCAGTGTCTTCCAGAGCCCCAGACCAGCAGGGACGTCTGAAGGGGCTGGAATAGGCCAGGCCAAGAGACCTTTAACAAGGTGCTTGCATTGAGAGGGAGACTAGGATTATTGTTTAACTTCAATATTTGCAGTTGCTAGTTTCTGAAATTAGGTCAAGGGCTATATCTTGAAGCTAGGCAAATTGAATGTAGTCCACAGGCTGTAGCTTGTTCATCCTTGGCCGATAACTTTTAAAAATCCTTTCTGTCTTTGGCTTCCCTGATCTGCTTCTCTTTTCTTTCTCCTCTTACCACTCGCCTCCTTATTGCTCACCTTTATTTTATCCTTCTTCCTCCTGTTTCAGTGTAAACATTCTCCAGCTTCTAGCTCTCTTCCTAGCACCCTACCTGCCTAAAACTAAGAACTCTTTTAACATAACCCTAATACTATTATCACACCTAAAATATTAAAATTAACTTCTCAAGATTGTTAAAATCCAATCAGTGCTCAAATTTCAATTATCTCATTACTGGGATAGCTCTTTTTTTACAGTTTGTTTTTGAATCAGGATCCAAACAGCATTTACTTGATGTGATTTGTTGAAATGTCTTTCATGTCTTTTTTCACTTATAGTTTCTCCACTTCGCTTTCTTTTTTTCCTTGCAATTATTTGTTGAGGAAACCAGGTAGGTGACTTATTCTGTAGAGAGCCCCACAGTCTATCTGGACTTTGCCGAATGTACCCTGAGGTGTACTGTAACATGTTCCTCTGTCTTCTGTACTTCCTTGATTAGATTCAGGGGTGATTTTTTTAGGGAAGACAACTTCATCAGTGTTCCGTGGTGTGTTCTTCCATCAGAAGGCACATAATGCTTTATGATCCCTCCTTTTAAGACATTAGCCTTATTTGATATTCATTGACTAAATCTATTAATTCAGTAAGAGTTCAAAATGATGATATTCTAATTCTATCATTACTTTTTCATTTATTAGTGGGAAGACAACCGAAAAGAGAAAACAGTTCTTCATCTATTATTTGGTTACCCAGTATCATTCATATAGGAAAGTCATGATAATGCTTAATTTTTTCTCTTAATCTACTAATTTTCACAGCAATGAAGTCATTCACCAGTTCCTCCAGTGACCAATTAGTCATTTTAAAAAATATATCATTATAAACTCATGGGTTTAAGCAATTTAATTTTTTTTTTAATTTAGCCTGTAGACAGTTTTAATTTTCCTGAATTGAATTGACCTTATCCAAATGCAGTTGCTCTCCATTGGCAGAGTTGGTATCATTAGTATTCTTGGCTGTAAAGGGTTTGCATGGAACGAGGACTAAGACTAAAGATTGAGAAGAGACCATTGTTTTGTGCAAGTGGATCATTGATAATCTTCAAGGGTACATTTTCCTTAGGTGGATGGGGCAGATACAGAGGTCTGCAGTGAGGGGATGTAGAGGCAACTAGCACAATCTTTGTGATGAAGTAAAGAAGCAATGATGTATAGTGCTTGCTATGGGCAGGGTCACTGAATCCTCACAGTAACTTTAAAAGGTGGGTACAGCTATAATCTCTATTTACCAGGTGACAAAACTGAGACACAGAGGTTAAGTAACCCACTCAAGGTTACACAGTTGTAAGTGGTAGAATTTACGTTTCAAACTCAAGGAGTCTGTCTCCAGAGTCCCTTAAGCACTACCCTACACAGGCAACAGCACAAAGGAAAGAAGAAACAATGGAAGTTTTTTTGTGTGTGTTAGTTTTTTTATGATGATGGTGATTTAATCATATTTGTAGTAAGAGTCAAAGAAGCCAAGAAGAGAGAATAACTGAGTAATTAGATTTATAGGAAATAAATGATAAGGCAAGATACTAAGAGAATGGGATTAAGAATATAACCCTCACTCCTATTACTTGAAAGAATAAGATGATATCCAGTACCAAAAAGTTTGCCTGAAGATCCGCACTGTCCGATATGGTAGCCAGTCATTGCATGTGGCTATTGAACACCTGTTATGTGGTTAGTTGAAATTGAGATGTAGTGCATATGTGAAATACCTACTGGATTTTGAAGATTTAATACAAAAAAAGAATGTAAAACATAATATTGATTATATGTCAAAATGATAATATTTTAAATATATTGGATAAAATAAATGTATTATTGAAATTGATTTCAGTTCTCTTTTACCTTAAAAAAAAAAATTCCGACTCACAGCAACCCCATGTGTGTCAGAGTAGAACTGTGCTCTGTAGGGTTTTCAATGGCTAATTTTTTGCAACTAGATCACCAGGTCTTTCTTCCAAGATGCTCTGGCTGGACTCTAACTTCCAGTCTTTTGGTTAGCAACTGAGCATGTTAACTGCTTGCACCACCCTGGGACTCCAGCTTTTCTAAAAAGGGCAACTAAAAAAACGTTTAACACTGCATATGTGGTTCACATTCATGGCTGGAATTCTATTTCAACTGGATAGTGCAGCTCTAAATGTTCAAATATACAAACTAAGCCCAGAAGACAGTGCAAAAGATGTTTATTTTTGCTCTCAGTTTACAGAGAGCCCTTATTGTTTTTCTTCTGGGTCTCTGAGCCAGTTTGCCAGTTTCAGGGTCTCATATGTCTTTCCTCTGGACCTAGATGGGAAAACAGAGAATGGGCCGCTTCAAGTCCTTGGCATTGGAGGCAGTGGTTAGAGAGACAGGTGTGAAGAAAAGGAAAGTACTGTTCCTTATGTAGTCTCAGGCTAAACCATCTACAAGATAAACAACCATTCTACTGGTGAGACTGACCACCTTTTGGAATAACTCCAGTGTGTTATTACCCCGTAGTATTCTTTGTCTCTTCTCTCTACCTTCACCAAAACTTCCTTCTGTTTTCCCAGTGTGGTATGGGCAAGCATAAAAGGGTGGAAAAAAGTTTGAGGGTGGGTGTATTAGTTTCCTTCTGCTGCTGTAACTGTTCACAAACTTAGTGGCTTAAAACAACACAAATTTATCTTACAGTTTTGGAAGTTAGAAATCCAAAGTGGCTTTCACTGGGCTAAAACCAAGCTGTTGGCAAGATTTCGATCCTTCTGGAGACTCTAGGGGAGAATCTACTTCTTTGCCTTTTCAGTTTCTGTAGGCTGCCTGCATTCCTTGGCTTGTGATGCTGCAACACTCCACCCTCTACTTCTGGTATCGCATATACAGACCCTTGACTTACCAGAAGCCTTGTGGTAACATTAGGTTCACCTGGATAATCCAGAATAATCTCTCCATTTCAAGATCCTTAACTTCATCACATCTTCAAAATCCCTTTTGCCATGTAAGGTAACATATTCACAGCTTTCAGGGATTAGGACGTACACATTTTTGGAGGACCATTATTCAGCTTACCACAAGAGGTGTCACTATGCCCAAAACAGGAACACCAGTATTCTTGTTCTGGATCTGTTTTGCAAAGTCTGGATAGATGTGCTTTGGAAAAATGTGAGAACATTCTCTAGAACATAAGAGGGGAATGGATGTAGGTTGAGAGAGGCATTTTATGGTGAATGAAGAGGAAATCCTTTTCTGAGGAGGATGAAGGAGCAGACTGAAGGTTTGAGAAGAGTGGGAAAGACTTGGAAAAGCTGCTGTTGGAGGTGGGAAAGCTGCCAACTAAGGTAGAAAAAGCAGACTGCTTCCCTGAGGGCATATGTGAGATGAGAACACAGTTACCTGAGTTAGACAATGTGATCTGAGATCATGCCAATTACCAGAGGCGCCCCAAAGTGTAAACATGAAGATGACATTAAACACGGTTCTAAAATACCCATCTAAATCTGTGTCTCAAATTTTATGAACAAACCAAAACAATCACATCAGAATCAAAGTGGTCCTCCCATGTCCTTTTGGCTATGCCGTTGTTTTTCTTTTCCCATAATTCCTCTAAGAACCGGACGCTAATGAGGCTAGCATAAGAAGGGGGAAGAAAAAGGAAGACGAATTATAACACCACACTGGAAAGAAACCAAGAAATAAGACAAACTGATCTCTGCCCAAAAGAACAACAACAGTGAAAAATTGCACTAGCAAAGGGGCCATTATAGACTCACAGTTTAAATTTTTAAAAAGACAAAATATGGAGGATCTGGTAAGATCGACCAGCTGCTTCTCTTTTCTACAACATTTCCCCAAGGGACACCTCCTGAAGCTTGGGTGTATCTCTCTCTTGCTGTGTCATAGGATATTCCTTACCCCACCCTCTCCCGCCTGCTGCCAGTGTGTGTGTGTGTGTGTGTGTGTGTGTCTATGGTTTCTCTCTCCCTTGTAAGAACGCGGCCTGCCTGTCTGCTGCCGTTGCTGCTGCTCTTTCTCTTTCCTGCCTCTCTCTTCTCTTTTCTCTTTCCACTTAGCTCCTTGCCTTCTGGTAAGTACGATAAACACTCCTTCAAGCCCTGTGAGAAGATGTAGGGTGCGGTTTGTGGTGCTCAAAACTTGGAACTTTGCGACTTCTAGTGAACTGTTGAAGAACTTTCCATTGTTTTATTTATAATTAAAACGTGTTGCTCAGGAAGGAATGTGTGTGTAATAATCTGCTGGGACTGCCAGTATAAGTGAAGAATTCTCTCAGAGAAAAAACAAAAAAAGTAGACAGTGACGTTTACGTACAATAAAATTTAGAAATACTTTTTTTCTGCCGCAAAATTAATTAGGAAAGAACCAATTTAAAAGTAACAGAGTGCCTTTGACTTTGTTTTTTTCTTGTTATTGATGTATCTGGAGGGAAGTTTTAGGAATTGTGCTGTCCGATAGTTTGCAGTGACTCAGTTATTCTGTTTTAAAGTAAATGTGGAAGAGGAGATTGAAGGATATTCATGGAATTAATTATTTTAAAAAAAGCAGCAATATTATAGCATCTAATGAATAAAGGGCAAATCAATACAAATAAAGCACTTGCATTTAGACTAACCACACTAAAACTCCTACGAACTGCAGGCTTTTAATTAATTGCTTTGATGTTTGGATTACTTTAAATTTTATTTCAGACTAAGACAACCTCCATAACACTTTAAAACCTATGTATAGACTTAAACCAGTGCATATTTACTGTTTTTAATTGATTTAAAAGTTATTCTCTTCCCTTGATTTTCAAGGATAAAGTGCTAAACATCATGACTCCGTTTAGAAGAGCTTAAAATAACCTCTGGCTGGACAGCAGGTGCCATGTGTCTTTCTCCAAGTTTGGGGGGATGGTGGTGGCAGGCATAAGTTATATATAGATGAGTGTGCCCAACAAGTAGAGGTCAGGATCAAGAAAATTCCAGTGATGAAGACAATGAAGCTGTTTACTGCACCATTTGGTAATAAAGTTGGTGAATTCAAATGGGTGAAAGGAAAAAGTACTTCCTTCCAAGTTAATAAGTACTTGGTGAGCACCACAAGGTGGGTGGCAAAATCTGTATGTTGAACTTTCCGTTCTTTTTGGCACGCAAGCGTTTGACATCTACTGCCCTGAGAACAGGAGAAGGAAGCCATGCAGCGTGAAGATCAGTGTTTTCTCTTTCATGCCACCACAACAGCAAAACCTATGCATGTTGAGGATCCTGCCATATTTTTATGCCACTAATTAGCAGTCTCACAGTTAAATATTATTTACAAATAAAATGCACCATAGCTTAAAGAGCTAAGCCAAATCCATTGTAACCTCAATCAGAAACTCTGGATTATTTGACTCACCTTGTTCCTCATCCCTATTTCCTAGGAGCCCATATTACGTCTGGATTACTTCCCTACTTTATACCCTATTATGAGTCAGAATCGACTCCACAGCAACTGGTTTGGTTTTTGTGCTTGTTTCGTATTCATTAAACATTGCTATTTTTAAAATTAAATAATGTATCCTAGTGCTTCTTGACTGAATAAAGTTGTGATCTGTTTTTTTTTTTCTAAAACAAAGTCATATTTTATATTGGAACAAAAGGTATTCTATAAAGTCAAGGAACAATTATTGTGAGCATCATCATGTTTTCATACTAGTTGGTTTCTTATTTATACCTTCCTTCATTCTCTGCCTTATTCCAAAAATGATGCTAGCTGGAACCTCAGCAAAACTGTTTGCCAATTGGTAATTACATGTTACTTATCCAGGAAAAAGAAAATACCAGAAAAGCAAGAAAGAACATATGCAGTATAATAATGCATTTACATCAAAGTATTCATATTAATCAAATTTTGATTTATAGATTAAAATAGAGTTTAGGGATGTTATTATTATGAATGATTTTCAGTAAGTCCAGTGGCTCTTATATTAAATGTTTTTACTTTTAAAGAAAACTAATACCATTTTAATTGAAATATTTTAAATCTATATATCCATTTACTTCCAATGATTATGACTCTATATAAAATTTATAAGAGAATGATAACCACAAATTTACTATTCCAAGCAAAATGACAATATGGCCACGAAGAACAATACTGTGAATTACTCTTTTAATGTTAATAATAGGGAACACTACTGGAATTTAAAGACCAAAATAAAAAATATCTAGTAGTATGACTTGATTTGGAAAAAATGGCTTCCAGCTAGTCCTGCCTTACTAATTGTAGTATCAATGGTTCATGAAAAAGTACTCATTCTATGTTACAAATAGTGATTAGTAGACACCCATTTGGGGATATCCTTACTCTTTACATATAACTGGGTTAGCTACATTAAACCTAACTGTGTTTGCCACTAGATACTACTCGAAGTATGGAGACTAATCAACCTGTACAACTCTCAGTGGAACCACAGTCAACACCTCCAGAGGACAGTTCCTCATCGTTACCCAGTCAAAATGGCCCGGAGAAGCCAGATGGCCAGGATTCCTCAACTCCACTCCAAGAACCAGACAAAGAGGCAAGTGTGCAACCTGAAAAGGGAGCTCATGATATCTCTGAAGAGTTGAATCAACAACTGGAAGACATCATAAACACATACGGGTCTGCTGTGGGAAAAACAGGGAAAGAGGGTGCTGCCAGAGCCAAGGAGCAGCCTGAGAATGCAGAATTGCCCGACAATGAGGACGGGGACTGCGAAGAGACAGCTGAAGAGGCCGAAAGAGAACTTACTGCTCCTGGAGAGCCATCTGCAGCCAAAGAGCCTGTCAGCAATAAAGAGCAGAAGTTGGAAAAGAAAATCTTAAAAGGATTAGGCAAGTATTGTGTTCTAATACAAGAATTTTCTTTCTTTCAGTTCTTCCCTTCAACTTTACTAAAAGCCACATTTAGTTTTGTCTATCATTTGAATGACTACAATAGCTTCCTTCAAGGTCTCCCTACATCTTCTCTTGCTGTACTTGCCCCTAGCCCCTTCCCCTCGCTAGAGCTACAATGAACTTTTCAACATGTTACCCACCTACCTCTCTCCTCAATGGCTTCCCATTGCTCTTAGGACAGAGGCCTAAATCCTTAACATGGGCTTTAAAGCTCTAATGCTGTAACCCCAACTAGCCTCTTCAGCTTTATTTCACCTCACTCTACCCCACAACATCCCCTTCCTGAACACCCTGCCCCTATCACTGCCAACACCACTTCTATTATTGTCATTCTGATCTTCTTTTTCAGTTCTTTGAACATGCCATGCTCCATCCCCCATAGAGTCTGTATACATCCTATTTTCTTTCCCTAGAAATATCTACCCATTCCTCATCACCATACTCAATTCAGCCCTTTGGGTACTTAACTACTCATCATTTAGCTCACAATTCAAATGGTATTTTCTTAGCTCAATCCTAGATAAAGTCTATTTTGTGTTTTTAAGGTACTTAGCAGTGTTTGAAATTATGCATTTGTTTTTGTAATTTTTTGGTTAATAAGTGACTTTTCCCACTAGATCCTTTATCTTAGGGGCAGAGATTGTGTGTGTATTTGTACATTATAGGATGCCTAGTGCCTAGGGCAGTAGATGGCACATACTAGTAGGCATTCAGCAAATATTTGTTGTAAGAATGAATGAATAATTTATGTAGAGAAAGAAAGAGATCTCATCTCTCTCTCTAATTCTGCCACTATCTACAAGTCATCAGATTTCAATTGAATGTGTTTGACCAGAACCAATGTTTGTGAATTAAAGTGCCCTCCCTGGTGAGCCCACTCTAAGTACATGTGTGTAGGCTGCTGGCCCTTGCATGCCATCCTACTGAACACCTTTATCATATTCTAAACACTGTATTATTTACGTTACATTATAAGCTAAAACAACATTTTTAGGCTAACCTAAACATAGAACCACCATAGAAAATGTTATTTTAGTCGTTTGCAAGTGGCTTTAGCAGGCTTCTTGGCTGTTTATCAATTAATTGGCACTGCACTATCATCTAGACCAGTGATTTTCAAGCTTAACTGTGCATTAGAATCAAATGCAGAATTTGTCAAAAATGCTGTTCCCAAGTTCCCCACACAGAGATTCAGAGTTGGTAGGTCTAGAGTGGCGCCAAGGCACTCTGGGTAATTTTGATATAAACAGGTTATAGAAGCAATGATTTTGATGCTTCAGAAAGTGCTTCCTTGCCTCTTTTGTAGAAAATAGATAAAGTATAGGCTGTGGTCTTGTTTTTACAATCTGTCTGGACCTTTCATAGAATCAAGTAAGTAATTCAATCCTTATCTGAAGATATATAGACTTTGCTCATGCACTTGATCAAAGAAGAGTCTTTAATCATTGAATATTTATGAGATAATACTTCCTTAACCAGTATTTTTAAGATGCTGGAATTTTCTGATTCTCTAACCCAAATTTTTCCAAAGTGTGTACTTCGGGTTCTTTGAGAGTTCAGACAAAATTAAACAGTTTCTTTACTGCCCAAATTCTCTGGCCTTTAATATATACTCAATGAAAATCTCAATTGTGCTGGTTACAGTTTATAGCATTTCCTAAACTTATTGGATAACAAGACCTTTTTTGACAGAACATCCTGAATATTTGGGAAATATCTCTACAGCCCAAGGTCTTGTTTGTCCTTTAGAGGCTGCATATTCTTCCACAATCAACACACTAACCATTGGAACAGTTGGGGGGAACATTTTAAAATCTCTTTAGCCAGTACAGTCACTTTCTCCTTGTCATCAGAACTGAAAGCATCCTGTTAACAGCTGAAGCATCCCTCTTACCTTCACCTTCTCTCTACCCTAGGCTCACAAGGGTCTCATTAAACATATCTTTCCCAACATTTTGTGGTCTGCACAAGCACCACATAGTAATAAGCACAAAACAATGATAAAATATAATATACCAGTAACCACTCGCCATCGAGTCATTCCAACTCATGGCAACCCCATGTGTTTCCGAGTAGAACTGCACTCCATAGAGTTTTCAATGGCTGTAATCTTTTGGAAGTAGATCACCAGATCTTTCTTCCGAGGCATCTCTCAGTGAAATATGTCTTTTGACATTTAGATTTGATTGAGGCATTAAAAAAAAAAAAAAAAACCATTGGCATTGAGTTGATTCTGACTCATGGCAACCACATGTGTTATAGAGTAGAACTGCTCCAGACAGAACTGCTTTCTTCGCTGTAATCTTTATGGAAGCAGATTGCCAGGCCTTTCTTCCACAGTGCTCCTGGGTGGATTCAAACTGCCAATCTTTCAGTTAGTAGTTGAGCACAAACTGTGTGTGTCACCCAGGGACCTGGATAAAGGCATTAAAACCAAGCTAAACAAACAGACAAAACCATGACTATAAAATACAGTGAGGGGTAAGAGAATCTTTACAAATTTAAAAAGTGGACCAAAACATTTTAGGAAGACAAATATACCACCCAACAATATTACTTTTATTGTTTTTGTTGTCTAAATCAAGCTAAAATGGCTAAAGCTATTTTAGTCATGGAACCACAAAATCTTAGAGGCTAAACTTAGAATCCATTATGTCAACCCACTAATTTTATAGAGAGGGAAATTGAGGCCGAAAGAGCTTACAAATCTGCCAAAAAGATTACCCAACTAGTTGTTGGTGGAGTCAGTTCTAGAATCCAGGTCTCCAGTCATTAGTCCAGTATAAATTTAACTATACTCTCCTTCCTATCCTCTAAATACGTGAATTTTATTTCCCTTAAAAGATATACACAGATCTTTAGGAATTATTTTTATCACACTCAGTGTTTTGAAATTGTGTTAAAAGGAAAACAAAATTAATATTTAAATACAAATCTGGGTCTAACACTTGAAATGAAACATTCACAATCTTGCCCTCCTTTAAGTTTCTGCCACAACACATGGAAACTGTTCTGAGGGAAAAGAGGCACATAAAGACATACTAGATGAAATCTTACCCCCAAAGCCCTAGAAAATAATTTTGGAAGAGAAAATGTATATTTTTGAACACTCCTTCATTCTGCATAAATTGTCACCAAACTTAGTGTAAACAATCATCACTAATGCTAGAAGGTTCAGAAAAATCCTGGTCCACATGTCTACAGTGGGTTTAGTTGTCTTAATTTAAGGTTTTTAATTTTTTTTTTGATGTAAAAATAACTCCTTCGTATTCCAATATTCCCTCAGTCTACATCTGTGCTGGTGACTACAGCCATATATGACGTCGTTGTTCTTGCTGCACAGGTGGTTCTGCTTTCATGTAGACTCACTGCCAAGCTGAGCATTTTGCAGCATGATGGCCATATGCCCACCACATGCCTTCCCCAACTTCAATGGGAAAGAAACGAGACTGGCTTTGGAATGACACATTGATGAGAACACAGTTGATCCCCTCCTGATAAAATGTCCTCTTATGTCTGGCACTGTGACTAAGTGACCCCACTTTCATGGAGCTGTAATTATAGCCTTTTTTACAAGATGAGCAAGTCTCTTTGTCTACCCGCTTCCTCCATAATAATTCCACACGGCACTTTTAGTCCAGAAAAATCAATGGAAGCTTAAAGAATAAGTTCTCTGATGTCATAAATTTAATAATTCTACACATCTGCTTCCAATTACTTGGATTTTTTGTTGCAGAGAAAAATAATTTTTGAAGGGTAGATTGACACATCTGAATATTAACCCTCTATACAAAATAACAGAATATCAGAGCAAAAAGAGACTTCCATAAGTGTGAAGATTTAAAAAAAAAAAAGAATCCTTTTCTCACAGGTAAGAAAAACAAAACCTAGGAAGAGAAATTAGTTTATGTAGGAAGAGACACCCATAGGACTCACTCAGTTGTTTACCTCTCCCCTAAATCAGACACGCGATGGTTTTCTGTGCCTGAACTCACACGGAAAGGTATCCCAGCATACATAAAATGTCAGAGTAAGACTAGTCTTTCCTCTAGTTGGTCACAAAGTTGCCTTCAGGATAGTTTTATGTTGATTGACTTGATCCCAGTTTGCCCTAGTTGGCTTTGTTTTGTTTCATTATTACCAGCATTCATTGGGCATTTACCATGGCCGAACACTGTGCTAGATCCTGGGACCAAACTGATAAACAGTACTGTCTCTTGACTTTAATAAATGACATTTAACCCAGGACAGCAGTCTTCATGTGGGCACCGTCCACAAATGGAAGACAAGGGTGAAGGACTGGCTTGACCAATGCAAATACATCCCAGCTTCGAGAGGGATAACTCAGCCCAGCTGATGTGGACAGCAGTGGTTATCAGCTGCAAAGGGCAGCACATTACGCCACGGTTCATAATTGAAGAGCTGGTAGAGGAACCAATTACACCCACCTTCCCTTTGTCTTAGGCCATGTATCTAATTCGAACTGACTCACTGGGCAAAGATAGACAAAACCAACTGTTAGAAATGAGATCATTTTCTTTTAAAAAAAATTCCTTTTATTTCTCTAAGTTTCCCTGGCATCAAAATACCACCAGGGAGTAGAGTGATTTAGGGCAAGTAGACTGACCTTAGATTCAATCCTTGGCTCTACCAGCACTAATTATGTTAACACTGGACTTCTCTGGGCCTTAGATTCTTGATCTGTAAAATTAGCCAGTTTGTTTGGATGCTCTTTGAAGGCTTTTTTATACCTAAACTTGGGTTCCATGTGGGATTGCCAGATTTAGCAAATAAAAATACAGAATAATGAGTTAAATTTGAATTTCAGATACACAATGAATAGTTTTTTAGTGTACGTATGTCCCACTCAATATTTGGGACTTATTTGTAATAAAAAAAAAATTCACTGTTTTTCTGAAATTAGAATTTAACTGGACGTCCTGTATTTTATCCACCAACCATAATTCTGTGGCATATTTGCCTCTCCAGGATAAAAATAAATATTACAGCCAAGGAGAAATGTTTGTTCTTGGGGGAAAGGTTATCTAAGTTGTTAATATTCTTAAGCAGATTTATATCAGAAAACATGGGCTCTACTGCATGGCTTGACCTGCCTTCATTGATTACACAGAATGGTTGTCACAGATAGGTGAGGATGGGGAAAAGGCTCCAGAGTGCCACTTCTCCTTCCCAACACTCAGCCCGATAGATGCCTGAACTCAAGTTTTCCAGGCACCACAGACAGGTAAACTTGGCAGTTTGAGCAGAAGAAGACAAAAGGAAGAACAATAGGGAGAGAAAAGAATAAATCTGAGATTGACTGTTAAATAATCATGAACAGATGATATTATGGACGGAATTGTGGCCCCCAAAAGATATGTTGAAGCCTTAGCACCCTGGTACCTATGAACATGACCTTGTTTGGAAATGGGGTCTTCGAAGATGTTTTTGGGTAAGATAACATGAGGTCATACTAGAGTAGGGTAGTCCTAATCCAATACTGGTGATGTCCTTATAAAACAGGAGAAGAGACACAAAGAGAGACACGGAGGGAAGATGGCCATGTGAAGACAGAGGCTGGGATTGGGAGTGGTGTGTCTACCAGCCAAGGAACACCAAGGATCTGCATCTGTCATCAGAAGCTAGGAGAGAAACATGGAACGTATTCTCCCTCAGAGCCCTCAGAAGGCATCAACACACCATCACACCACTTTCAGATTCCCAGCTTCCAGAACTGTGACGCAATGAGTTTCTGTTCTTATAAGCCAATAAATTTGTGGTACTCTGTTACAGCAGCCTAGGGAACTAACACAAATGAGTTTCAGAATACAGTGTAAACTCCAACTGGGGACAGAAAATGAAACCGCCAACAGAGTATAAGACATTGGTGGGAAAAATGAAGGCCTGAGAAGGCTGGTCCCCGAATCACAGAGGCACAAAGATCCTCCACATCTTGACTCTGTTTTCCCTATGTATTGATTTCATTCTCTGCTTGGTAAGAAATATATTTAGTGTTATTCCTATGCAACCAGAACAGGTTCATGTACAGAAATGAAAGAATCAGTTCTCAGAAGAAGAAAGGAAAGAGATACTGGAAGAACAAAAACCACAGAAACAAAATGGGCAAACTAAACTATCAAATTTCCCTGTTTATGACTGGAATTCTAGCAACCCAGTGTGTCAATACTGGCCATTTCATGCTAATTAGAAATTTTGATTGACTATTTTTATTGTTTATTAATTAAAGTAGGAAAACGGGTGACTTAATCTGTCAGTTTGTCATACTGTGGTGGCTTGTGTGTTGCTGTGATGCTAGAAGTGATGCCACTGGTATTTCAAACACCAGCAGGGTCACCCAGGGTGGACAAGTTTCAATGAAGCTTCCAGACTAAGACAGACTAGGAAGAAAGGCCTGGTGATCTCCTTCTGAAAATTAGCCAATGAAAACTTTAGGGATAACATTGAATTGTGGTGTTGGCAAAGAATATTAAATGTTCCATGGGCTACAAGAAGAATGAACATATCAGTCTTAGAAGAAATAAAACTAGAATGCTCCTTAGAAGCAAAGATGGTGAAACTTGTCTTGTTTACTTGGGCATATCATTAGGAAAGATCAGTCTCTAGAAAAGGACGTCATGTTTTGTAAAGTAGATGGGTCAGTGAAAACGAGAGAAACCCTCAATGTGATGGATTGGCACAATAGCCACGATAATGGGCTCAAACATACCAAAGGTCATGAAGATGTCGCAGCACCGGGTAATCTTAAATTGTATTACACATAAGGTCGCCATGAATCAGAGCTCACCTGATGGCAACCAACAACAACAAGAATTCTTTCATAAAGTTAATATTTTGGTGGATAAAGATTTTTATGGAGAAAAAGTAACAAGAATGGATTCTTGGATAAAATTTGGGGGACGACTGTTACAGCAGACATTTACTAAGAATCTTTCATGAGCCTGACACTGCACCACACATTGTCACAGACTTCTCAGCTAATTCCGACTTACTCTGTAAGGTAGATGTCACCTCTTTTTACATGAAGAAAGATTATATAAGTTAAGTGGCTTGACCTCGTTTGGGTAATAACAAGTGAGTGGTCAACCTGAGATTCCAGCCCAGACCTTCTGACTGCAAGTTCAATGCTTATTTATAAAAAATGTCTTTATTTCTTTTAAGGCAAAGAAGCCAACCTTCTAATGCAAAATCTGAACAAGTTGCACACACCTGAAGAAAAGCTTGATTTTTTATTCAAGAAGTATGCTGAATTGGTAAGATTTTTGATTGGCTCTTTTTGTAAGAAAGATACATGCTGTGGTTTGGGTTGACAAAGGGGGGCTGTTACTTTTTCATGTACATCCTTATAACCCACGGCTGGTTACCTCAAATAATCCAAGTCTAGAATTTATAAAAATAGAATTTTTTTTTTTTTTTTTTTAAGGAAAAGAAAAAGACAAACTGAGGAGTAAGAGTAAAATGGAAGAAGGATAGAGTTATAGAGTGTATATAATTTTGGGGATGGGAGAGAGAAGTATAAAACCAAAAACCAAACCATTGCCAGTGGAGTTGGACTCATGGCAACCTTATAGGGCAGAGCAGAACTGCCCCATAGGGTTTCCGAGGCTGTAAATCTTTATGGGGAAGCAGACTGCCAAATCTTTCTCCCACGGAGTGGCTGGTGGGTTCCAACCGCCAATCTATGGGTTAGCAGTGGATGGGTTACCCACTGTGCCACCAGGGCTCCTTAGAGAGAAGTATAAATAATTTAAAATTGTGGATATATCAAAGTTCCTTTTAGCCTTGCAATAAAAGAGAAATACACCCAGTATAAGGATAAACAAATCTTCAATCTTCCATTCAGTTCTTATACTCAGGTTTTTTGAGGGAATCCCCTCAGGAAGGCAGAAGTTTGAGTTAACCCCACCCCTCAGCTTGGGACACATTCTCATCTGGTCTGGCCGACTGATTGATTGATGGATCCTCTTTGGCCTGCGTTCTTCTCCTCCTTCCCGCACGACGCAGTGTTTGATGTGGATTGTTTCATGCCTGGTTCTGGGTCCTCCCTCTCAGTAAGTTAGGACCGCGGAGAGCAAGGGAAGCCATTGCCAGGTCATCAGAGACTCCATGAAAGGGACTGTCCACTCGCCAGTACTCTAGGATTGACCAGTTGGAGACAAGGGGAGGGCTTCGTAGGCCAGCATCTCCGGTTTCCATGAACCCTCACAAACACCTGCTGATGTGAGCCTGAAGCGAGAACAGCACACAGCGACGTCTGTGCCCTACCCTGGGAGAGTTTGAGCCCCACAGCTGGGAGGCGACGTACTTGCTAGTGAACTTAGACAGCGTCCTTCTCTTTCACTTCTGCTTCTTTTCTTTAAAAAAATTTTCCCACTTATTTGTTTCCTTTGGAGAAACAGTGACAGGAAAATGAAATTTAAGTCCATGTACGGCAAAAGAAAAAGAAAATTCCTCCAGCCGGTGGGTTGAACTGCCCCCAAGGCAGATCTACGTGTTGCTACTAAAGCTTAAGGGTCAGGGTCTCTCAGATGCATGGGCTGCCTCGGAAATCCTGGAACTAATTTTCCATTGTTAATTTTATATTTTTTAAAGAGGGCCTCCAAAACTGAATAAGCTTCAGTCCCACAAACCCTTCAGAACCCTGCTTGCATCTCTCATCCCTGTGGATGGAGTAGAGTTTAATGCGTGACTTGTTTTCTTTGTTTTTCCCTCTAACTTCAGTCCTGTAATTCCCTATTTGTTTTCCCTCCTTTCCTCCCTTCCGCCTTCCTTCTTTTCCTTCCTTCCCTCTCCCTCCCTCCCTTCCTTCCTTCTTACTTTCCTTCCTTCTACCTTGCTGTATCTGTTATACTGAATTGTCATGCAGTAGACCCAGAAATATTCTGAAGCCCTCAGTAGCTGATTGCTTAATTCTGCCAACAATACTTTTTAATTATTTTTTAAACACACAAACCACATGATGATGATATAAGAAGAATACTGAATACTTGAAACAAAATTACCTCTAATTCTACCACCTAAATCACAAATTTTTTTTATACACATTCCTTTCCTGTTCTGCTATGTATGCAGAGATAATTTTTATGACAATTATCATCAGAACCAAACCCAAACCAAACCCGATACCATCGAGTCGATTCTGACTCATAGCGACTCTACAGGACAGAGTAGAACTGCCCCAACAGAGTTTCCAAGGAGCGGCTGGTGGATTTAAACTGCCGACCTTTTGATTAGCAGCCAAGCTCATAAAGTACATATAAATTTAGTATCTTCAGTTTTTGGCTCATATTGCAGACATGTTTCCGTGTAGTTCATAGTCTTCATAATTGTATCTTATAAAAGCTGTGTCATATTCCATTAAGAGGCTGTATCCACTGGTTCTCTAATCTGGGGACATTTAGATTCCTTTTACTGTTTGCTTTACCGAATATTGCTGCCGCAAACATCATCATACACAGATTTGTTCCTTCTCCTTCTTTTTTATGACTTTAGAGAAAAGTTCTAGAAATGGCACCACTAAATTAAACAGTATGAATGCTTTTTGGTTTTTAAACTTTATGGCCACATTTCTTTCTAAAAGAGTGGTAGAAATTTACAAAGCAAGCATCAATGTATCAACTGTCTGGCAGCTTGTTTAGCACTGGCTATTATCCATCTCATAGAGACTCATAGCAACCCTATAAGACAGAACAGAACTGCCCCACAGGGTTTCCAAAGAGCGACTGGAGGATTCGAACTGCCCAGCTGTTGATTAGCAGCCGTAGTTCTTAACCACTGCACCACTATAGTGTTCTTACGAGTCGAAATTAACTCGAGGGCAACAGGCTTTTTTTTTTTTTTAATTATCCATCTATTAACAATTTCAATGCCATAAAATAAAGTAGATATCAAAATAATATCTTTCCCCAAAAATTTGGTCCCCCATTCTCATCTATCCATACTTGTTCTTTTCAATGTTTCCATCTCATTTCCCTTTTGTCCTTTCCGCTTATCTATTCATATCAAAGTCATTCACGTTTAGTTTCTAGTGCCAGGTTCTGTACTTGGCTGGACTAGGCATGCTGGACTAGGCATTCTGGACTAGCATAGGAAGCCATTTACAATACTCCAGCCCCACAGCAGTCCGTCGGAGTAGAATCACTTCTCCAGCCTGCTCAAGATTTTCTACTCATACCCCTAGCTAAGCAGTCATCCCCATAGAGGTAATTTTTCAAGACAGCCTACTCAATTCAATCCTTACTTACTATACTTTGGCATTTGTATTGTGTCCTATAATAAACTTTAAGACTCAAAAGATCATTCTAGAAAAAATAAACAAGAGAAAATTGACCAGAAATAAATAAATAAATTACATTTCCTTTTCAGATAGAAATAATTATGAGGGATTTCACTTTTTAACTTAGATACCAAAACCTATTTCTTTGCTCACTGATTTGGATATTAATATAGAAAATGTCTGAAGTATGTGTTAACATAGAAAAACCATCAAATTCCAAGCTGCAAATCAAACTGCCATTCTAGCTCACTCATCCTTACAGAATCTGAATCCTGTAATATTATCTACCATTTTATTCATTAATAAGTAAGGATAAGTTCATTAATAAACAAGAACACCTCATGACTAAATTAAATGATCTACTTTTTTAAATTTCCTTAACTTTAATGTAGTTAAAACAACATCACTAGTACTATTTTTATTTGGTACTTGGCATTAATTTTACTTTTTTTTTTACTTACTAGCAAAAAGGACTGTGAGAACAAGAGAAACTGCAGATAAAAATCCTATATGCCTGTCACAATAGTACAGAAGAACCATGTCTGAGTGCGTTATTAAACCACAAAGCCAGCGTTTGACTTAAAGTTGACTCAGTTGCAATGTTTGTTTTCAGTAAGAAACCCCCCACACATTCACTTTTCTGAAGTTTTTAAACAAAATTAGTCACTCACTAAAGAAAATAATAATTATCAACAAGTTAAGGGTTTTTATTTTAGAGCAAAGCAAGACAGACCTAGCTAAATTTTAAATTTGTATGATCTTGCAACAAAACTGAAACATTAAATGATCCATGAGGAAGAGCAAAATATCTCTCTTTCAACTAATGAAGGAGCCCTGGTGGTGCGGTGGTTAAGTGTTCAGCTGCTAACTGAAAAGTTGGCCATTCTAACTCACCAGCCACCCCTTGGGAAAAAGATGTGGTAGTCTGCTTCCGTAAAGACTACAGCCTTGGAAACCCTATACAGCTGTTCTACTCCATCCTATAGGTTCGCTGTGAATTAGCATCGACTCAACAGCAACAGGTTTGGTTTTTTTGGTTTTCAACTAATGAAAAGTGTGCATATCCTCCTCCACACTCATAAATCCACACAAAGCAGTACTCCCCAAATAGGGGCAATATTACTCACCAGTACATATTAGGCAATGTCTGGAGATTTTTTTTGGATGTCACAATCAGGGGTGCTACTGGCATCTAGTGAGTAGGGTCCACGGATGCTACTTCAACAGCCTACAATGCACAGCTCCCTCTGGCCCAAACTGTCAATAGTGCTGAGGTTGAGAAACCCTGTCATAGGGTTTAATCTATAAAATGTAGAGTCTAAACCATAACGGCAGTAACAGTAATAACAATACAGTATATAAATTTCAAGAGAGGACAATACATTATTTAAAATCCATATATAAGCACAAGGAATTTCACTCCTAACGACTATGGCGCAAAATGAAAATATCTCATCTATCCTATGAACACAAATTTAGCAAGAGAAGCACGTAATAAAATATCATTGATTTTCCAATTGAACCTCAAACAGGGTATCAATTTCAACTGATATTTATTGTAATATGAACCTAGTTTTTCCTGATGCTAATTCCCACTGGTAAGTAGAAATTGCTCATGAGTATGAAGATACTGCATCACTATGAATACCCCTGGTTTAATCTGGCAAGGGTTTATAATGGTCATTTCAGTGTGACAAGAGGGAGGGAGGAAACGATTAGGATAAGATGCGAACTGAAGAAAATGTGACATTCTTATTTATCTACTAGTTTAAAAAGAACAAATGCTTTTTCAAGACAGAGAAACTGAGACACGTCAGGGCTCATGTGACGTGTGTACCCATTTTCATCAAGCTCTGTGAGACACCAGGAACACCTGGGATCCAGAAGCATCCAGGGGCTCCTCAGGGCTTTTCCTTTTGGTTGGCCAGCAAGGTCATTATCAGGACCAGTACCTACCTGGCTTATGCACCATTCAGGCACTAAAAGAACTGAGTCTAGCAGAAGAAACAGCTCTGGACAAAGGGCTGCAACTTGAATATGGTCACACTGATTGTTAGTCTAAAATGGACTCCTAGAATCTGTTAGTCTCTGCTGGCTCCTGGCGGTTGATCCCGATGCTTCCCCCACCATGACTAGAACCCCATGATAAAGTTGCCAGACTTAGCAAATGAAAATACAGAATACCAAGTTATGTTTGCATTACAGATAAATAACAAATAATTTTTTGTTAGAAAAATATACCATGCAATGTTTTGATTATACTTACTAATACACTTCCTAAGAAAATTTTAAAAAAACAAACCCATTGCCATCAAGTCAATTCTGACTCATGACAACCGTATGTGTTACAGAGTAGAACTCCTCCATAGGGATTTCTTGACTGTAATCATTACAGAAGTATATTGCCAGGACTTTCTTTCACAGAGCCACTGGGTAGGTTCAAATCACCAACACTTAGGTTGATAGCCAAGTGCAAGCCATTTGTACCACACAGGGACTTTCTATAGAAAATTATTCTTTATTAATCTGCAATGCAAATTTAACTAGATAGCCAGTATTTTAACTGGCAATCCAACGCCAGAACTTTAGCATCCCAAGATGGAAAGCACATGGTAAGTTGGTTCATCTTACGTACCATCCTAATACCTTAGTTGTGGCTGCTAGACGAGTGTGAGAGGAACTCTGGGGCCCCGCCTGGCCGCACAGAAGCAAGTGTCATGATTTATTCTCCATAAGCATGGAGAGGGTTGGGATGGGTGCAGAGCAGGGCATGTTGCAGATATTTGCCATTCATGTCATTGGGTTGGGCACTGGCTATTTCTGAAGACTTGATGAAAAACTGTCCATGCTTAGTTAGTCAAGGGGTACTTTCTCTTCTTCCTCTTTCTCACAATCCACCCTAAAGCCCAAAATTATAAGAAAGAGGACTTCATCTTCTCTTTACCAAGAGGCCTCTTTTTTCTTGTTTGTTTTTAAAAGTGGTTGCTATAAGTTTATTTTGAGAAAGAATTGTGGGAACTAAATGCAACCCAAGCAGTCAACCTGTTGACTATTTCCTGTCAAGGAATTCTCGTGAATTCTGGAAGTTTACAGATTCTAAGAAATGCCTTTCTATATCGACTGGCATTCATTTGATAGAGTGAAGAAAAAAACTCTCTCTAGACTACCAAAGGAAACCCTGATGGTGTAGTGGTCAAGAACTATGGCTGCTAACCAAAAGGTGGGCAGTTTGAATCCACCAGGCGCTCCTGGGAAACCCTATGGGGCAGTTCTACTCTTTTTTTTTTTTTTTAGACCACCAAAAAGATCAAAGTAAGAAGATATCAATAATAATGATAATAACATAAATAAAGAAAGCACCTATAAACGATCTGCTCTAAAAATTATGAAAACCTCAAAGGTGACATTTGTGAAGTTCATTTGCTTCCAGAGGGACAATAATAATAGCAAAAAATGTTTCCAGACAAAGATAGAGTAATCTTTAAGTCTTTCCTCATTTGCTCCTTTCTATCAACTCAGAAGAGATCTCTGCCATTTTCTTTCATGTTCACACCCCCACGTCTAGCTGGAGGAACATCGCACTGAGCAAAAGAAGTTAAAGCTCCTACAAAAGAAACAAGTACAAGTCCAAAAAGAAAAGGACCAGTTACAAAGTGAACACAGCAGAGCTATCCTCGCTCGCAGCAAACTGGAGAGTCTGTGCCGGGAGCTGCAGAGACACAACAAGACTCTGAAGGTAGGTGTCACATCACAAATAACACACTTTAGTGCATACTGTATAGACACAGGCCTCTGCCACTCCTGGAAAGAGTATAAGTTTGAGAATCAGAGAGTCTTGGATTGAAATACTAGCCCTGCCACTTGCTCACTTGTGATCTTCAATAAATTATTTTACCATCCTGCGCCTGTTTCCTCATCCATAAAATGGGGACGATATCGACTCCACTGTGTGGTTGAGGAAAAATTAAAGGCGGTCACGTAAGTGCCCACACAGTACCTGATACAGAGTAGACCCTTAATAAAATTTGTGCCGTTCCCCTTACCTTTATTTTATGTTGAGTGTATTTGTTGTTTGGATTTTTTTTTAAGGTAGGCTTTAGTTCTGTTTTTTAGAATATAAATTTGTACCAACTGAGCACTTTTTGTGTCTATAAGGAAACTTGCATGACATGAGATGAATTGACACACAGCTAATTGACATAATAAATCGAGATTGAAGCTAAAACGTCAATAGCCATCTGAAAAAAAGAAGCTACTTGACAAAACACTGAAGCTCTTCAGACTTAATTATTGACCCTTAAAATAATAGACTGATCACTTCATTCAGTCTGCATGGGTTTCATTAATTACAGCGAAAGCCTCAAGCAGTGTGATTAATCTGATTACACGAAGACACTAGCTCCATTCAATGAAGCAAGATGCAGGGTTCTCCAAGATAATACTGTATCAGTCTATAGTCCCCCTCCAGCTGAAGATCCTGGAGCTTTTGACAAATAATAATTAATTAGACACCAATATTCCCGTGAGGTGGTTATTATTACATGTGTTTAAAAGGAGATGGATTAAGAAACAGATGAAATCACTGCTAAATCTGTACAATGAGTTAGGAAGAAAAATAGAAGAGGATGTTGGCTCTTCGTTTTCCAATTGTTTTTGATATCTGGGAAATGGGAGGCCAGTGCGATGAACTCTAATGCTCCAATAACAAGTTTTAGGAGCCGGGCTTCTTGTATCTCTTCAGTGATTGCATAAGGACAATGAGAAACCCAGACTGCAAGGGGGTCTGGGGATGGGAGCATCATCTTCAACTCAAGATGTGTATTTAAGTGATAAAATTCTGAGTTTACGTAAATCCCCTGGCTTTCATAATGTTATACAGTAAGGAGATGAAAATTAAATCAGATACAGTGAAAAGATTTAATAAACCAACAAAAATATTTGAAGAGCGGAATGATACCACTTGTTCCCTTTGGGTAGCATTCAAAGGCAGAATGATGGAAGCAGGGGGAGACCCTATAGGTATATCCACACACCCTCAGTAATGGCTCAAGTTATTGGCAACAAAATTAATTAATTAATATAATTAAGTACCATTATTGCACCAGGAGTTGTGCTAAGTGCTTTACATATGTTGTTTTGTTTTCGTCTTTACAACAACGCTATGAGTTAATGATTTCCCCATATTATTGATGAAGAAACTGGCTATCAATTTAAATCAGTTGTCCAAGGTCACACATATTTTAAGCATTAAAATCAGGACTGGAATTCAAAATATTTTCTTATTTCCCCTCTGATTTCTTCATCAACCCACGGATTACTTAGAAGTGCTGTTTAATTTCCCAATATTTAGGGTTTACCTAGATATCAGAGACCTGGTGGTGCAATGGTTAAGCACTCAGCTGCTAATCGAAAGGTTGGGGGTTTGAATCCACCAGCCACTGTATGAGAAAAAAATTTCAGCCTAGGAAACCCTATGAGACAGTTCTACTCTGTCCTACAGGGTCACTATGAGTCAGAATAAATTCAGCGGAACACAACCACCACCTAGATATCTTATTGTTATTGACTAATTTAATTCTGTGTGGTCAAAGAACACACTCTATATGATTTCAATCCTTTGAGATTTTTAAGACTATTTGTGGCCCGTCATATGGTCTATTGATGAACACTATGTGCACTTGGAAAGAATGTCTCTTCCTCAGATGTTGAATGAAGCATTCCATAAATAACAATTAGGTCTAGATCATTTATGTCTTTACTGAATTTTTGTTCAGTCATTCTATCAGTTGCTGAGGAATGGATGTTAAAAATCTCCTAGTGTGATCGTGGAATTGTTTATTTCTCCTTTTAATTATGTCAATGTCTGTTTCATGTATTTTGAAGTGTTGATATTAGGTGTACATACATTTGTGATCATTATGTCTCCCTGATGACCATTTTATCATTATGAAATAGTCTTAGGTAATACTCTTTGTCTTCTATGCTTATTGTTTGCATTGCTTCCATCTGCTTATTTTCAACCTGGGTCTTTATACTTAAAGTGCATCTCTTGAACACAGCCTACAATTAGGTCTTGCTTTTTTGCTCATTCTTACAATGTCTGCCTTTTAACTGGAGGAAAGTCCATTAACATTTAATGTAATTATTGATGTGGTTGGCTGTAAATCTACCATTTTATTACTTGTTTACTGTTTGTCACCTCTGTTTTCTGTTCTTTTCCTGCCTTCCTTTGTATTATTTGAGCATTTTTAAACTCCATTTTATCTCTTGGCTTTTAAAATTATGCCTTTTTGCCTTATTAGTAGTATTTTCTCTGTATTACTTTATACATTCTTTACTTTTTACAGTCTACTCAGAGTAAATACTGTGTCACTTCACATGTAGAAACTTTGCAACTAAATAGGTCCATCTATTCCTCCCATCTTTAAGAGGTAATTGTCATATGTGTAACATTTACATACATTTATAAAACCAATAAGACAATGTTATAAGTTTCGCTTTAAAAGGTCATATGCATCTCTTTAAAAATTAAAAGACAGAAACTGTCTTTTTTTATTTACCCAGATGTTTACCATTTCTGGTATTTTTCATTCTTTCTGAAGGTCTGAGTTTCTGTCTGATATCTTTTCATTTCAGCCTGAAGAACTTCCTTTTCCTTACAGTACAGGTCTGCTGGGGATGAATTCTCTTAGCTATATTTTATCTTTAAAGTGTTTTTATTTTGCTTTTATTATTTACAGCTATATTCCTTTGTATCCGTTCTTTTTTCTTCTTTCTTTCAGCCTTTTATAGATGTTGTTCCATTGTATTCTGGCCTCCATAATTTCTGATAAAAATCAGCAATCATTTGAATTATTGTTGCTTTGTATGTGATATGTCATTTATTTCAGGCTACTCCCAAAATATTTCTCTTGATCGTTGGTTTTCAGAAGTTTGACTGCTTTATTTATGCCCAAGAGTGGTTTTCTTTGTATTTATCCTGTTTGCTGAGCTTCTTCTATTTGTAAATGTATGTCTTTCACCATATGTGAGGAAATTCCAACCATTATTTCTTCAAATACTTTTTCTATCCCATTCTATTTCCTTCTAAGTTTTCAACTTCATATATATTAGACTTTTTAAATATTGTCCCACAGGTCCCTGCATCTCTCTTCATGTTCTTTACCAATCTTTTATTTTAATATTGGATCATTTCTATTGATCTGTTTGCACATTCACTGACTCTTTTCTCTGTCATCTCATTCTACTCTAAGCACAACCAGTTTGTTGTTGTTATTGTTTTTGTTTTAATTTCAGGTATTGTAATTTTTCAATCCTAGAATTTCCATTTGGTTATTTTTATAGCTCATATTTCATTCATGACATTTCTTCTTTTTATTCTTTGAGATAATATATTCTTTTACATCATTAAGCATAGTTATAATACCTATTTTAAAATTCCTATCTGCTAATTCCACATTTGGATCATTCTGGAAGAGGACTCCACTGGGACTGAGATCGGTTCACATTTTCTTGGTTCTTCATATGTCAAGTAATTTTAGATTGTATCCTGGATGTTGTGACTGTTATGTTGTGAAGAATCTGTATTCTATTCATACTTTTCTGGAAAATGTTGGGTTTTTTTTTTTTTTTTTTTAAACAGGAAACTTACAAACTCTGTCTCTTGGGCAGCAGCTCAAACCTCAGTTCAATTCTTTTTCTCCTTAGCTGTGCTGCTTTGAGTCTTCCCTGAATATGTGTGGTTCAGGGTCAGTCAGAAATTTCAGCAGAGTTTATTTACAGAATTTGGGATTCTCCCTTTCTGACCCTCTCTTTACTGAGAATCCCTCCTCATCATCCAGTAGCTGTAGTTACCTAGAACTCTGTACTCTCATTCTTGAGAACAGAAAGATGATGCGTTTTCTATGAAAATTTTACCCACCTTACAGCTGCCAACTGGAGTCTGCTGCTAAGCCAAAAGCTGTAAAAAAAAAAAAGGCGAAATTTACAACATGCTATTCTCTTTTTACACGTGTCCACTTCCATCCAGAATATTCGTAATTTTGTTTACTCTCCAATGCCTTTAAGAATTTGTTCCTTGCATTTTGTTCAGAGTTTATCATTGTTATCTGCAGAAGAGTCGGTGCAGTATGAGTTTACTTGGCCATAGTAGAAGTAAAACAGCCTAAGTATATTTTAATCTAAATTCCAGGTACTAGGAACTTGGGAAAATACAAAAAGTGAACATATACCCAGGTTGTTTCCGCCACTATAAATTTTAAATTTTACTATTCTTTATTGAAATTGCTTCCTCAATGAGTCAAAAAAAAAAAAAAACCCACAAAACTTTATAATTTAAGATAATTTAGAAAAGGACCAGTGAAAGTCTGCGGCATGGACTTGTTTCAAGAAATGCTACATATATTTGAAGCAATAAATCGGAGCCTCGAACTATACTGAAAAAGAGCTTCCCAGTAAAAGACAGGTCAATGTTTCAGGGAACATGTTTTTAGTAAAGAAATAAACAGTGATTGTTATCAGCATATCCCAGAATTTTAATGTGGAAAGGACTAGAGGAATCATCTAGTCAAAACTACTCATATTACTGTCTATAAATGAATAATTCACTGATTCATTAAATAAACATTTACTGAATGCCTATGGATTATGTGCCAGGCACACCGTCAGTTCTAAGATACACTATGATGCTTGCAGTTTGTTTTCTTAGTTATTTCAGACTTTGCCCCTCAATATTATTCATATTATTAATTTTCACTATGAATAAAGTGTTTGCTAAAGAAAAGAAAATTTTATCTCAGACACTATCCAAATGATTTCAAATTCTTTTTCAATGAACTCAAGTTTTATAAGATTTTGTAGACTCATTTTTCTCCCATTGAAAAATATTATGATGTAAAATGTAAGATGACATTTTGTGGGCCATGACTCGGGGTTATAATGGTTTGACATGTGTTTGATGCCATCCTAACACCTGTCTCTTCTTATTTGTAGCCAGCTGCCAGTGAAGAACTCGGTTTCTTAGTAGTATGAGATGGTTCTTTCATTTAATCATTCATTCAGGGAGGGAACATTTATGAATGCAAATGGCATTCAGGTCAAAGTCCGTAGTTCTATGATTCTGAACTTGCTGACTTCTAAGCTGACCAGGAACAATGAGGAGAAAATCACTATAATGTATATATTCAGTTCTTCTGAGCTGATGCCCACAAATCACTTTTTAATGAAATACGTATACTAGGAAGGTTCCTAGGTGGCACAGTTTGTGCTTGACTGTGAACCTAAAGGTTGAGGGTTCAAATCCCCCCAGCAGTACTATGGAAGAAAAGTCCTGGCAATCTGCTTCCATTAAGATTACAGCCAAGAAAACACCAATGGACAGTTTACTTTATAATACATGGAGTCACCATGAGTCAGAATCAACTTGACAGCAACTAACAACAACATATAGCAGCTGTTCTCATCACAAAGTTTGAAGAAATAACATCTCATAAAGTCCTTCATATTAGATAGTGCAGAAAACTTCTATAACATCCTTAAGAAGTTGTCATTCAGTAAATGTTTATAAAATGAATAAAATATAATTCTGATATCAGAAATCACATCAAAATTAGAGAAAGTATTAATATTGTAGAGGAAAGAGGAAACCTAACAATAAGTTAAAATATTTCCAGGGCATATATTTTCAGCATCAGTTTTTACTTTTGATCACATTATTCTACTATCATGGTAACGATTTGCACAATTACTTCTGTTTAAATATTATTTCTCTTTTAAAAAATCCTGTTACATAATTTGAACTTGGTAGGCAGCTAAGTGCAGTATAATTTTACTTGCCAACAATGAAGCAAGCTTTCATATTAACAATTAATCAGAACTGAAAGGAATCCTAAAATGTCTGTATCACTTGTCAGCACTGCAAATGTCTTTATCTTTGATATGATGTCACAAGATTAAACCCTTTTATTCTCAAAGGATGGGGAGAACAATCAAAAAGTAAACAATTCTCAGTATAGAAATGGAGGAAATTTAGATACATTGTTAGTGGTTAACAATGAATGAAGAGTTTTGATTTAGGAGAAAAGAGAACAGAAATGATACAAAAGTTAATTTCCAATTCTTCAATGTTAACAAAGCAGAAGAGGAAAAAATTAGATGTTTCATTTTAGACTTAAAGAAGATTCAAAACTTTATATTGCTTTCAGATTCAAAATTTACACTGAACATTTCAATTACCCTATGTGACACATGAGATAATTGTTCTTTCAGACAGAAATAAAATAACCAGCATATTTTAAAAGATTGCCTTTTATATTTTGAATCGCTGTAATTGCTCCATAGCTAGCTTAGTTTCCTTATTTAAACTTTTTAATGAAAGTTTTTTCTTACTAAGAACAAGTTTATATTGTGATCATTTATATTTACAAAACGTGGGTAATACAATTATCTAGCTAATATGCCGTGGGTTTTATACATACCAAACCAAAGTAACACACAATCTGTCTCATCAATCAGCAAAACTGAGTGGCCTTTTGTGCAGGCCACAGACAAGAGATCAAAACCATGTGATGTGTGTTTGTAAGAAATTGCTGCCGTTCATTCACTCGGCAGGAGACCTGTCATCTTTAAAACAAGCCTATTCATCACCAACTATCAAATTCAAGGCCCTCACAGCTGAAACCTTCGCTCATACATTTATTTTGGGAGCTGAGCGCCGCTGGCTCTAGAAAGAACTGTGAAAAACACACCCGACTTACCCAACTGACTAATCTCCCTTCATTGACCTAATCCTGATTTCTATGAATCCAGGGTGACTTTAAACCAGCATCACAAAATATTTGGCTTGTTATCCACAGGAGGAATCCCTTCAGCGGGCACGTGATGAGGAAGAGAAAAGGAAGGAGATCACAAGTCATTTCCAGAGCACCCTGACGGATATCCAGGCCCAGATTGAGCAGCAGAGTGAGCGGAATATGAAGCTGTGCCAGGAGAACACAGAGCTTGCTGAGAAACTGAAGAGCATCATCGATCAGTATGAACTCAGAGAGGAGGTGAGAGCCACATCAAACAACTTAGAAAACAACAGAGATCCGGATCTGGGCTGTGAAGGTGGGGAACTTGGTAAATGAGAGAACATTGTGGCCAGCCCTCTCAACTGATTGATATTTTGAATTGGATTTTTATTACAAACGCAAATAAAGACAGATGGTGTTACAAAATACCTAGCTGAAAAGTCAGACAAGATTTCTTCAAAGTGGAATCACTGCAAAGCAAAGGCAGTAAATAGAAAGTGGTAGGCCATGGGCACAGTTTTCTTTAAAAGTTGAACTTCTCAGCCTTTTTAAAAACCTCTTTATATAACCCCCAAAATATCTCACACACTCCCTGTTAAAAATCACCATGTCATCTAAATTAAGGATCTATATTCTATATACCTCACCGCCGATAATAACATTATTGATAATGTATTTATTATAATAAGAAAGGTATCATTTGTTTGGTGCTTAATTTGTGCCAAGCAATGTGGTAAGTACTGTACTTTACACACATTACATCATTTAATTGTCTCAAGAAGCACAAAATAATAATGTATTATTAACATGTTATAGATGAGGAAGCAGAGGCCTCTACAGTCACAAAAGCCAAAAGATTTTTACTTTCAGTAATTTACATTTGGAGGAATATAAAAATCTTTTGTTATCCCAAAATTATAATATTTAATATGTTTTTAAACTCCAGATGGGACCCCCCACCAAGCCAGGAGTTTGATATACCCTATTCTTTTTCCCAAGGAGCCCTGGTGGTACAACTGTTAAGTGCTAGGCTGCTAACTGAAAGGTTGGTGGTTCAAACCCACCCAGTGGCTCTGAGGGAGAGAGACCTGGCAATCTGCTCCCATAAAGATTACAACCCAGAAAACCTTATGGAGCAATTCTACTCTGTTATGTGGGGTTGCTATGAGTCAAAATCAACTCAACGGCACCTAACGACATTCTTTTCCCCAGACCCTCCCAGGTTTTAAAATCTCTGCTTTAAAATGTAACAACATAGTCAAAATGACTCTTTTGGCTAAGATTTTATCAGGAAAGAAACTGAGCCAATAGCATTTGGAAGCGGCAGTTAGGTGAATCAAGAAACACCTCGCAGTGAGTCATAACATCCTGCTACCATTTTATCTTGTCACGAAGATCAACCCAGCTCCAGAGCGGAGGTTCCAGACTGAAGAGGAAGGGAGAATAAGAGCGAGCTAGAGGGAAAACATCCATACTCTTCAGGGAGATCTCAGATGGGACATCCAGGACAGGTCCTGATATCCTAGTTCTATATTCCTGGGACTGGTCTAAGGGTAGAAGTACACATGTCCCTTTCCATTGGGGAACTCCTAATCACCAAGAAATCCTCCACACTGAGATCCAGCTGGTAGCTTCTCTTTGCAAAGCAAGTTAAGGGGCCTCTGAGTGTAGAGGAAGCCGCAACCTATTTGCATTTCAATTCATCTGTGACCCTGCGCAACAGAGTAGAATGCAGGGGACTCCCTCCCAAGCCTCAGGCCCCATGTTGGCGCCCCAGAGCTTCCTCACAACCTTTGAAGCAAAAACTGTGGAGGAGAATTCACAGTGATAAATTGTATTAATGTAGTGATTAAAAATGGTTTTATATTCATAGAAAAACCCAAGATACCTGGTGATCATGCTATAAACCAAAAACCAAACCCACTGCCATCAAGTCGATTCTGACTCATAGCAATCATGCTGTAGTTGCTGCAATATATATCATTACCTGCTGTCTGGCATAATAAATAGCATCATATGTAACAGTTGCCAAATTTACAAAAATAACCTAGGGAACTTTTGCCATTAATACTGCTAAACTTTGGCACCCCCACCTTTGTGTAATGCAAAATGTAGGGGACTTCACCAATTTATGACTTTAATATAAGGCATAAATGATGCCAGTGCATTTATTTCGTCTCTTTTTTTAAATCTTAAAAGCTAGAGAATGTATGCTCATGAGAGTATTATTATTATTATCATTATTACATTTTTCAAGTACCAATGACAAACCAAGCTTTATGTGTGTACTTTGTCTTTCCTTAGCATCTGGACAAAATATTTAAACACAGAGAATTGCAGCAGAAGCTGGTGGATGCAAAACTTGAGCAGGCGCAAGAAATGATGAAGGAAGCCGAGGAGCGACACAGTCGAGAAAAGGAATATGTACTTATCATTTTAATCAGTGTGCATTTCTGCTCTGCCTTAGTGTTGGGAGAACCCCTGAGAAGGTGGTTTTGACAACTATCAAAGTGCCTGTGCTTTGGTGGAGAACTACATTTGCTAGCCAGTACAAGGCATTATGCCTACAGTATTTTTAACATAAAATAGTCATTCATTCAGCAAATACTTTTCAAGTGCCTATCATATGCTAGGGAGCACTGGTGGTTCACCTTCCATGTGGGATACCAGGGTTCGATTTCTGGCCAATGTACTTCAAGCACAGTCACCACCCATCTGTCAGTGGAGGCTTGCATGTTGTTATGATGCTGACCAGGTTTCAGTGGAGCTTCCAGACAGATGGACTAGAAAGAAAGGCCTGGGAATCTACTTCTGAAAATTAGCCAATGAAAACCCTATGGATCACAATGGTCCAATCTGCACTCAATCATAGGGATGGCAAAGGATCCAAAAGCATTTCATTCTGATATGCATGGGGTCGCCATGAGTCAGGGCCACCTCAACAGCTAACAACAATCATATGCTAAGCACCATAATAGGTGCTGAGGATACAGTAGTGAACAAGACAGAGAAGGGCTACCACCCATCATGGAGATTAGAGTTAAACAAGGAAGAGACAGGCATTGAACAAGTAAACAAACTATGAAGGGTAATTTCAGATAATAATAAATGCTACTAGGGAAATAAACAGGAACTGAAAAGGAAGAGGCAAGAGAGGACTTACTTTAAGATGAGTGACCACGAAGGCCTCCTGCAGGGGAGGATGCCTGAGTGGAGACCAGCCTAATGAGAAGGAGCTGCCAGGTGTGTAGTCAGGAAGTCCCCAGCCTCAGCGTCTGCAGCAGGGACAAAGGCCTGATGCTGAAACCAGTCTGGTGTTCTCCAGAAGTAGGCAAAGGTCAGGGAAGTAAAAGTATGTTGACCAAGTGGGAGAAAGTTTCAAAATGAAGTTGGAGCCAAATTGTGCAGCTTTGCAGGGCTTGGAAAGTAATTTTGATTTTACTCTAAATAGAGTAGGGAAGTGCTGGGTAGTTTTAGCAAGGGAGGTGACATGATATGCTTTGCATCTGTAAAAGATTAATTTGGCTTCTTGGTGTAAAATAGACTAAAGAGACACGAGTGAAAGCAAGAAGATAGTTAAGGATGACTGTAGCAATCCAGATGTGATAGGACGAGGGGTTGGAGTAGGGAGGTGGCAGCGAAGAAAGAGAGATGAAGTTGCTGAAAATTAAATTTTCAAAGTAAAACCAAGAGGCAGTGCTGATGGGCTAAAGATGGTGACAGCGAGGAAAGGGAGGACCAAGGATGACTCCTAACATTTTTGGTTTAAGAAACCAAGTAGCAGTGTTTACTGATACCTCACTAATGCCAAACTCACCAAAACAGGTGTAAGGCCATCCTACAGATGAGAGAATTGAGGCTTAGAGAGGATGTGCAGCTTGTTTAAAGTCACACAATGCAAAGCGACCAAGATGTTTTTCAAACCCATGTGCGTCTATCTCCAAAGCTCAAGCTCTCTGAGACAGTACCTTATACTCAGAGGTGTGTCTTCAAGGTAGACCTCATGTCTGTTGCTAGGGGTAGAGGGAGATTTAAAACCAATTATTCAGATTTGGCCATTTATTATTCGGTCATGAGTTTTTCATTTACCTAAAATCAGCCCAGAATCACTTTAATTATTATTAATTTCAAAAATAATTTCAGTTTTCCATCATGGCAAAGAAACGTAGAATTTCAGAGCATACAACCTGGCATATATTCAATATTTTCAAATTAGAAGTCCACATGTTTTTAAGAAAAAGATTAATTTATTAAATCTATCTATAACCTAGCCTTCAAAGTAAGAAATAAAACATTCCATTATTATTCAAAATCCAAGAAAATAGATACTCCATAATTATCTTCTTAGGTAAATTATACTTCCAACGGGAAATAAGCAGCTTCACTGTATAATATATGAGATAGTACCATGACAGAGGAACAACTGGGCAAAGGTTCATGGGGATTGGGGGGGAAAAGTGGGGTGACCTATCATTGGCAAAGAAGCATGAAGCCCAATTTTCCAACCATGGTTTAGCAAAACAGCAGATATGAATGAAAGAGAGTTAGCTCCCCTCAGCTTTTTGAAGCTGGCCACCTCCCTGGCTTCCAATTCTGATATGTCGTTTTGAAAGTGGTGAGATGTCAAAACAGATCTGGTGTATTTCCTCACCCCAAGCAGAATGGGCAGCCGCTGGCCTCCCTCGCTGTCAGGGGCCTTCCTCAGGACACACTGCACAGCCCCTCAGTGCAGCAGGGGAAGAGCACCCTGCCCCCGCACCTTCAGATGGCCAGAGTGAGGACTGCAGAGCTTCCAGTGCACAGCTGCCCCAGGCCTCTCATACAGATGCAATTACACTTCTAGTAATTAACCTTCACTGCACCTCTGAGAGGCATAAAGGAACATAACCAGCTGCATCTAGTGACTCGGATTCCTACGACTCCATGTGTGTCAGAGTAAGGACTGCGCTCTAGAAGTAGATGTTCTTTGAAGACACCTCTGGGTAGACTAGAGTCTCAGCCTTCCAGTTAGCGGCCACGTGCCTTAACCACCTGCAACCACCCAGGGATCCTAGAGCAACAGAGTTGTCCCATTTTACAAATGGAGAGACTGGGCCACGGGAAAAGGATAAACTTGGATAAGGAAAAAGATGCCTTCAAGTTTTAAAAAATAATAATGTTATTGTTGTTTGGTTGTTCTGATTACAAAAATAATACATGAACCTTGGGAACAATTTTTTTTTTAATAAAGATAAAAAAAAGAAAATTCAAATCACCCTATCTTGAAATGCAATAAATACTTCTTAACTGGCGAGCACCTGGCTGACTAACCAGATTAATCCATGTCCGTAAAACAAACTGACAGATGCCCACAGCACATTAACTGCCTGCAGCGAGTAAGCAACAGTAAGCAACGCTCTGGATTGCCTATACCCGTTAGACCCCAGCGGGTAGATGGAGTTTAACCAAGAATCAGCTTTTCCTCCTGTATTAGTTTCCTAGCATTACTTTCCCTATATTACTTTGCCATAGCAAAGTACCACAAATTGGGTGGCTCGTATAAGAACAGAAATTTATTGTCTCACAGTTCTAGAGACTAGGAGTCCAAATTCAGGGGGTCAGCTGGGCTATGTTTCCTCTGAAGGCTCCAGGGGAAGATCTTTTCTTGTCTCTCCCAACTTCTGTAAACCTAGGTGTTCACTGACTTGCAGCTGTAGCATAACTTCATAGTCTCGCGTAGCCGTTTTCTCTCTGTCTGTCTCCTGTGTTCTTCTCTTTTATAAGGACACCTTCAGATGAGATTAGGATCCTACTCTACCCTACTCCAGTATGACCTCTTTTTAACTGATAATATTGTCAAAGACCCTATTTCCAAACAAGGTCACAGTCACAGATACCCGGGGTTAGGACTACAACATATCTTTTTTCGGGACAAAATTCAATCCATAACACCTCCCAAATTTTCCTTCCAGTTACACATGTTCCTGTATTGTGTAAATCAATAGAATGATATAAACTGATGAAATGTGCGTTTAGAGTTGTTTCTTTGAAAACTATGTTCAATGCTTTGAAAGCTTAGATGAAGGCAAGTAGTGAAAAACAGTTGTCAAATTAGGTGTGAACAGCCATAAAACATAGCTTTTAAGAAAACTTTAAAACTCTAAAAAAATTACTCATTCGAGTTGCTTCGCAAGTATCTTTAGATTCTAGCACTATTTAAAAAAAAAAAAGGGAAATCTTAGATGTCACATTATGGATGTGATTTTTATCAAAAGACAACTCTGAACTCCAATCAGAAGATCCATACCCAAAACAAAGACCACAGCCCTATATCAAAAGACTGACATGTGAATGAACACTTTTATATTTTAAGTTAACATAACATATTTTTAAATATGTGTATGTTGCTTTTATGCCTAAAACAGCTATTTCAATGTAATGAATCAGTTTCCATTTCTGACCGTGTTAGATACAAGGGCCTTGACCGTATTTCAAGGGCTGTCTTGTGGGAGAAGAATGAGACTTATTTTGTAAATCTTCAGAGAGCAGGATTTGGAACAATAGGTCAAACTTCTAACCTAGTGTTTCTCAAAACATAATCTGTGGACCACAGATATCAAAGCTGCCTGGGGAATTTGCTACAAATGCAGATTTCGATGCCACCCTATACTTCATGGATCATGTCCTCTGAAAGGAGTCTACATTTTAACGTGCTCTGTTGGTGATTCTGATGCATGCTATGATGGCAAACAGTGGTCTAGGAGAAAAACTTTGAGCTTAATATAAAGGAAGCAGTTGCTCACACAATGCCCCAGGATTTCCTGGTGGGCAGTGATGTTGTGGAGATGTTCAAGTAGAAGCTGAATGATGGCTGGCTAGGATTGCTAGATAAGGTTCCTGAATTTGGGGAGAGTTGAATATTGTGTGATGCATGCTTGAGTTGGTGGCTATTTTTCCTTTTTATTTTTTTTTTTCATTAAATCAAGTAATCTTATTTGAGAACTCAATTTTTTAGATCAACTATTGTCTCACATTTCTTAGATTCTTTGCAGAGTTCCAAATATTACTTAATAGGGTTAATGAGCTAAAATACTGAGTTTTACAAATTACAACCAAGACAACTTGACTTTCTTCCCATGCATCTTCTTTTCTCACAGCTCCTGAACCAGGCAGCAGAGTGGAAGCTTCAGGCCAAAGTGCTGAAGGAACAAGAGACAGTCCTACAGGCTCAGGTGACATGGGGGTAGACTGTGCGTGGGATGTGCTTTCCTTACTCTTCCCAAGTAAAGAAGTCTGTAAGCACAGGAAGTCTGCAGAAGCCCTTACATGTGGTAGGGTAAGGGAGACAGGAGTTGGAAATGAAGAGTAACTTCATATTTATTATGTAAAATAAAAGCACAGTATTATATCTAAGCAGAACAAGAAATGCTCTGTGCCAACAACATCCAGTCAAAAGGTTTGTTTACATACAAATATATCAGTTGCCGTAGAATTGATCCCAACTAATGGTGACCCTACATGTGTCAGAGTAGAAGTGTGCTCAATAGTGTTTTGAAAGGCTGATTTTCATCAGTAGATCACCAAGTCTTCTTCTAAGGCACTTGAACCTTTAACTTTTCGGTTAGCAGCCCAAAGCATTAACCATTCACACCACCCAGGGACTCCTTACATAGAAATGATGGCCCCCAAATCGTCAGTTAGAATAAGTAAGCTGGTATCTAGCTTTCCTTCAGTGTGTTCATATTTCGTCTCTCTCTCCTCCCCCATCACCCTATGAAGGTTAGAATAAAATGTAAACTGTTCAGATGCACCATTTATAACTGTCAATACCTAAAATGCCCTCAAGGTTTGATATTGCTTATAATAAAGAGGAAATTAGAAAAACAGTGTCAGCATCCAAGTTTCTGTGCTATCTGAAGTCAGCCCTGTCAGTGGTTAACTATTAGAAATAACGACCAAAGCAGGAACCATTTTCATTTGCCTTTGGGATGCCATATTTCATTAGACCATGGGAATTCCTAAGAGCCCCAGTGGTAAAGGCAGTTTGTGATCCGTTACTAACCGAGAGGTTGGCGATTTGAACACACCCAGAGGCTCAGCCAAGAAAACCTAATGCAGCAGTTCTACTCTATAACACATGGGGTTGCCATGAGTCGGGGCCAACCCAACTGCAGCTAACAACAACATGGGAATTAATATTTCAGACTCAAAAAGAAAGCGTCATGCAACAGCCGACCCTGGGGGAAGGTTGGAGTTATCCAGTTTTCCCTTGCCCTTAGGGTTGAGCCCCTGTGGGCCTCCATCTTGGCTTGGGAGCTCCTGCCTAGGCTCCTCTGCCCTCCTGGCAAATGTTCCTTCTCAGGTTCTGGGACACCCACCTTGCACAGAGCCTCAGAGGGGGCTCGAGCTCTGCTGCAGGCCGAATGCCCCAGTGCTAAAGGGCCGGGAAATCATCTAGAGAAAATTCACCGACCCTTAGGAAATCAGAAGCCTTTCAAGTTGTGCAGATTAACTCAAGACTTGGATAATTCACTGGTAAATGTTTATGTGCTGACTACTGAACTTATGGGAGATAATATAGAGCTCTCTGTCACAACAAAACATACTTGTTCATTATAGAAAAATAATAATAAAAACAAAATAAAAACTTAAGATTATAAACTATACCACTGCATAGACAAAAACACAAATAACATTTTGATGTCTAGCTTTCCTAAAGCATACCTTGCAGATGTGTGTATAGAAGGCAACTATGGATTGTTTTCCCTAATATAATCTTTTTTTTAATAATATATCAGAATAATTTTAAAATACTAATTATACATAGGTTGGAACTGTGATCTTTATTGATTACTAATAGAATCTAAGGGCTCAGAGTCAAAAGATTATGAACTCTAGAATCAGAAACTCACAGATCATCCTTTAGGCAGTTATGAACCCATCAAATCATGGCAGAGGGTGGGTGGCAGGCAGTGGTGGCCCTCTAACCGGGAGGTGGGCAGTGGAAAAGGGGGTGTGACCACATTGTCTGGCTGGAAGGAAAGAGCCCAAAGAATCATGCCAGAGCTTCTGACTGTCTCTGCCCCATTCACAACACAGAGACTTGAGAACAATAGACAATACTTGAAGCTACGCATTGTTCACATCATCTGTTATAAGCAATCTCTGCTTCCACATGCTAAATGAAGCTAATGAACTTGAGAAGAGTAGATTAATATCTGTAGACTCTGGGCTAGAGAGTGATTCATTCAGTTGGCATCAAAATCTAGGACTTTAATGGCCTATGAGATAAAAATATAAACATATGATTCAATTTCCTACCTACATCCTAGAAACAAAAAGGCATCTACCAAGGGTTCACAGACTTGCCAATGTTCCTCGGTTATCTCTCAGTACTCAAATGAGTCCGGGCACCAGGTTCAGAGCCCTGGCTCTTCTGCTGAAAAGCCGTGAGACTCTGCAACTCCCTTAATCTCTCTCTGAACCTAAATTTCCTTGCCCGTAAAATTAGGATGTCATAATGAATCCTCTTTGAGAGCATTCATTTTCAGTTTTTCAGTACACCTTCTCCTCACTTTTCAACTATATCGTTATCCGACATCTTGCCTTTACAACAATAGTAAAAAATCTACTATTCAACTATTTTGCGCATTAATGGCATATATCCTGCAATAACAAATGCCAAGGCACGAGGCAAGAGTAACACTGGCTTTGATGGTTAAGCTTATGTGTCAGCTTGGCTGGGCAATTATTCTCAGTGGTTTGGCAGTTATGTAACGATGTAACTTGGCAGTTATGTAACGATGTAATTTGATAGTTATGTAATGATGTAATCATCCTCTGTTTTGTGATCTGATATGGTCATCCTCCATTTTTGCATAACACTGGTTTCACATACCAACATGGTCTTTGGAACCTAACCATGTCGATAAGTGAGAAGAAGGTGTACTTCAAAGAGCATAACAGCACATAATAAAGCAGCACCTACTATCTAAAATGTGGTTATTTTTGGCATTATATCAGCTCTCACTCCAGCAGCTAGAGGTGAGAGTTATTCACATACTTAAGTTTTTAAAAGGAAAATGAGTTAATGAATATGTAATTCACATGTGCAGTTTGTTTTCAAGTTATATATGCAAAGCACTTAACTCAGTGCCTGCCCATAATAAGCACAATTTATTCAATCAATATTTATTGAGCACCTACTAAGTTCTAGGCATGGCTCGAGGTGTTAGAGATACAGTAATAAAGAAGAGAGACAAAAATCCCTGCCTAATTTAACTTACAATTATTAGTGATAATAATAATGTTAATATAATACTAGCTATTAATTAGTACATTGTTGTTAGCTGCCATGGAGATGGTGGTCCCCAACTCATGACAACCTATGCACCACTGAACCAAATATTGCCTCTTCTTGCTCCATTCTCACAAACGGTTGCAGATCAGACCGTTACGATCCATAGGATTTTCATTGGCTGATTTTCAAAAATAGTTTACCAGGCCTTTCTTCCTAATCCATCTCAGTCTGGAAGCTCTGCTGAAACCTGGTCAGTATCCTAGCAACATGCAGGCCCCCACAGTGGCTGCGCATGAGGTGCATTGGCCAGGAATGGAACTTGAGTCTCTCGCATAGGTGGGGATCTATATAGGGAAATATATGGGACAAAAAGGAGGTTTTAGCTAAAAAAAATTGAGAATGACTGGAAAAGATGATCTTAAGACCCTTTCCAGCTCCAGTTGATGGCTCTAGAGAAGAAACAGGGCTGAAGAAGCAGGGTCCAAGGCTAAGTTAACCCTGCCTTCTCCTCCCTTGCCCTGTTTTCCATGGCACAGACACTTTGGGCAGCCTCTGTTTGTGAGAACTTTCCCTTGTCTTTCTCTTATATCTTTATGGTTCTTCAAAATCCCAATAATTACTTAATCATCAAAACGAAAATAGAGGCATCTGAATCCTTATGTATATTAACATGTAATTAAGTTCCTCTTTAAAATGACCAACAAATTTTTAAAAACTTGAAAATCCCAAAAAACAATCAATATCACAGATCATTTTGCATAGCACGCAAAACATTTCCTTGGATTTTAAACTATCTTTAAAGGAATAGGCGTGGCAGGAGGAGAAGGCCTTAGTCCTCATTTCCAAGGCCTGAGCAAGGGAAATATCAAGAATGAGCTGTGCTGTTTTCCTAGAGTTAAGTCACTTTTCAATTATAAGACAACAGCTTGCCAGTTTGGGGCATGGTTCTCACTTCGGGAAGAGATGTCTGGCTTTCAATTATACAAATCAAGGCAATAGAGTAAATGTCAGAGATGATCAATGGCATACAACTGTCACTACAAATAGAGTGTTCATTGGATCAATAAGGATGAATATGGTAGTAGATGTGGAAAGTCAGCAATATCTGACAGATAATACAGACACAAAAGACTACCAAGGGGAAAGATCAGTGAGTAAATTGTTAAAAACATGTAATCACAGTCCTTAAAAGCAGAAGTCCTCACCTTATCCACATAGGATGAGGGCAGATCCTTCTGCAACTACTGTTGTCGTTGAACTGTTCCCCAACCACATCTCACAGGTTTGCTAAGAATTCCTGGGCCGGGTTCTGTTTCCTATACACTTTGAATGTTTGTCATTAAAATTTGGTGCTCAGTGAAAAGAATGTGTGTATTGCTCAGCCCCTTTAAAAATGAAATATTGAGGCAATTATTGTTATTCCTAACCTTGGAAAAGTTTGCTTCTCTTTCTGCCTCTGGCAGGAGAAATACTGTGGATGACCTCTGGATGTCCCTTCCCTGCCTCTCTGAAACACCAAAGTGAGAGAGGACTATGACCCATCAAACCAAACGCGCATCGTGTCAGCGTAACAGTGAGAGGGAGAACACTGCTGAACAAACAGCTATAAAGTAAACAGGAAGTTTAAGAAGAGAGCGTTAGAGCTGATAACCCGAGGAGTTCGTAATCTACACGTGTTTTGCCACCTGTGACAAAGAGATCAAGTAGAAAGAAAAGCAGAATATCAGCCCACTCACTAGAAAAAGCCTAGAGGGGGTGGTGCTGAGGGAGATACTACTTCTCTGTACTCTGGGTGTGGCTGTCTTCTCCAGGACACAAGCCAGCAACAAGAAAACATGGAGAAGGGAAGCAAAATCTGTCCAGTTAATACACCAAAAAGAACTTCCTCCCCAAAGAAAGGAGAACTTGCCAGGAGTTGGTGTGGGAGCTTCTTCTGATACTGAAAAAGATGCTTGTGCGAGATGGACCGCACTCGTGCTCACCCCTGCCCACACCTGACTGCAGCTTACAGCTGCAGGGGCTGCAAGAGCAGGCTTCGGGGACCAGGTCAGGAAACCACTGCATCCACGACCCCCATGTAACTCTGTTGGAATTACTGATAAGTTGGAAAGAGAAGCGGGAGAAAGTAAGAAAGAGAGGTTCTCATAAGGGGCCTGGTCAAGAAAGCAAATAAAGGAATTTTGTGATAGAAGTTGAACAGGATCGTCTAGGGATAGTTGTTCCCACCCCAGGTCAATGGATATTGTGCTGTGCGGGTAGCCAGTTCCACGGCAGCTAACCAGAGGATAGAATGACTCAAACTGAGAACAGTGAGCCGTTGGTGGGCCCTGAAATCAATTTAGTGGATCCCAGCAAAGAAAAAGAATCAGAATTGAATAAAATGTCCTTAAAAAGTGCGTTGCACATAATAAGAGTATGTATTATTTTATGCACCTTGTATGTGTGTGAGTGTGTATGTGTGTGTGTAAAACATTAGGGCACCTTCCTGGCCATGAATTCCCTGGTGTCCCTTTACCGATCTCCTTTAAACCGTATAGCAAGGAATCGTGAGAAACTATTTTAGAGCACCAGGGTTGCCCCAAGCTCTGTGGCACACTCACTGTGCTAATGAGTGATTATAAAATGATGGCCAGCTGTTGTTTGATGTTTCTATGGAAAATCTGTATCCTGTGGAAAGGATTTGTGTTATTTTGTTGTTGTTGTTAACTGCAATAAAACCTCTGCTATTCTGAATCATTTGGGAATAAGCCATTCTAGGTAGCAAATTTTCTTGGTTCAAGTTGCTGTTTCACTCACACACACTCCCTCCAGCATCTACCCCCAGAACTGGGAACCATCTAACCAGCTGGCTTTCCTTCATTTGTGCTCTCTCTGCTTTCAAAATGATCGTCGCACAGGCACCACCAGCGGGTCAGTTGGTGCCCTCCTTCTGGCCGATAATCCAACCTCCCCCTCTACCAAGTGCAGCTTTTGCTTCTTCTTTGCTGCTGGATGCTGCCAGTTTGCTTTTTCACACAAAAGACATTTTTGTGCTTATCTGAGAATTTGGGCCTGTTCTGGACACTTAAGCGTACCAAAGACTCATCTGAATGTAGAGGTTTTACCAACTTCACCCATTCGTATTAAATCTCCACTCACTTAAAACATGGTATCCTAATATTAAAGTAAGATTTAATTTTGCCTACTCTCACTAACAATCAAGTATTTGCACAGTTTCCTCCCCTGTGCTGCCCCAATACCACCCCAAATGCAAGCCTTGGAAGTAAGAGTGGTGAGCTACAGATTCGCCATGGATTCGCCATTCCTAACGCATACGATGAGGAAGGCATCCCTTCCTCAAGACGTCTTACTTCCATCTGTAGAAAACTGATGTAATAGACTGATTTTGCTGAAAAGAGACATTGAACTGCTATGGGTTAGAATACTGTATTAGTAAATTTATGAAACTACAATGTCTAAGATGGAATGGCAATTGTTTAGATGTGGCACCACTGGGTAGTGCACAACCTGCACAAGGATTAGTCTTAATCTGGCCCCAGGGGTGGATTATCTAACAGGCAAGGTAAACACAGTGCTTACCTTGCTTACCAGATCATCTGTAGTGAACAGTCTCACATTTTTTCACCACATCAAAGATTCTGCTTCTATGTATGGTTGGTATCTATCTCTTTCCCAATCCCACAGCACCTTCCTACAGAATCAAAGCTTCTTTTCAAATTTACAATCCCTGACAAGGACAGATTACCCAGTCAGCAAGGGTAAGCATGGGCTTACTTGTGTTCACTTACTGGTCTGTAGTGGACAATTTCACATGGATTTCACCATATCCACGTGAAATTGTTCACTACAGATTAATAAGTAAACACAAGTAAGCTGTGCTTACCTTGCTAATTGGGTAATCCGCCCCTGTCTGGCCCACATTTCCCTTGTCACTTCTTTTCATTTGTCTACATTCTTCCCTTCCTTCAAGACCAAATTCAAGGCTTGCCTTCTCCACAAAAATTTGGCTTACATGATCACCTACCACGATCACCTTCTCTAATCATCCACTTCATTTAACTCTCTTGGCACTTTGCTCACTGTCTTCTAGTCAAATTGTCTTTGAGATTGTCTTCTCATTTGGAGTGCAGGCCCCTCAAAAACAGAATCCACATATTAAATACCTTCATACATACACTATATGCTCAATACATATGGTCATGCTCGATAAATGCTTATTGGTAAAAATTATGATATTATGAAACCGTAATGACATTAGATTATTTCATTTTTATTTAAAGAACTACTTCAATCATAACCACGGAACATATTCCCAACACTGTACTGTGAATTTCCTTAAATCATTTTTCTTTTCAAATAATGAACAATGGCATGCTGTTTTGTTCTGGAAGCACTCTGAAAGCAGGCCTAAAATAGATCCACTCTGTTCTCTGTTTGCAGCTTACTCTCTACTCTGGAAGGTTTGAAGAGTTCCAGAGCACACTGACAAAAAGCAATGAGGTGTTTGCCACTTTCAAACAGGAAATGGATAAAGTGAGTATTGCTTATAACCCATGAAATATTGAGTTTTCTATTTTGACAGGCAATTCTCCTTTGAGTTCATTTATCTCTCACTAAGATATTTCAGTGCATTTCATGAAGTAATGAAGGTGTGGATGAGGTTTGTGTCGTAATTTTTTTTTTTTCATAAGTACCTGGTAAATTAATCTTAGCAAGAGTCCAAAAGTCCAAAAACAGCTAGGATATATTTTAACTCTAAGAAAGAACATGTTCTTTTTCTAATCCATGGATAGCTTACCAAAAAAAAAAAAGTGCTAGCAATTTAACATTAAGTGTTGAAGTAAAAAAATACCTAATCTTCTGAAGAGAAAAAGAACAACTTTAATACAAGAGTAGACTGTTAGAGTAGAAGATATCATCTTATAGGATTCTTCTTGGAAAGGGAGATATGTAGTATGATATAACTGATAGAAATTGAACTCAAATTTCTGGGTATACCACATCCTCATCAAGTGGCCTTGGGCAATTCATTCAATTTCCCTGAATTTTATTTTCTTTACCTATAAATGGAGCTACTATTTCACTTGCCTGCTTCACAAAGTTGTGAAGTTCAAATGAACCAATATATTTAAAAAAGGTTTTTAACTTTTTTAGCATCTTAAAATGGTAGTAACATTATTATTGGACACAGTATTTAAATCTTGCTTCTACTCAGTGCTTCCCCAATACAAAATCAGTATCGCAATTATGTTTCTGAACAGGCATTGGCATTAACCATTTTTAAGTGTAGAAATCTTCCTTTTAGAAATATTTTTGTAAAATCATATGACAAACTTCATGATTCAGGGTGCAAACTTAAGATTTTCTTAACGTGTTACAAGTTACAGTTTTCCCAGTCCAGGATAGCTTTATAAATTTTAAAATGTTTTTATTTTAAAATTATAGCATTTTCAGATTGGAATGAGTATTAGAGCAGGAGTTCTTAATCTGGGGTCTATTTATGGACTTCAGTAGTAAACCTGAGAATTCCTTGGAAATTAACCAAAAAAAAAATCTATGTCAGTGTGCATATTTGCATTTCTCTGAACTGTGGCTGTAGATTTCAGCAAATTCTTAAAGGAGTGATAACATTAAAAAGTTCATAAGCTAATAACTCAGTTAAGATATGATTAAAATTTAAAAACCACCCGAGGCTCACCCAGCTTCTCCGTACAGCCCAGGGGCTGACAGTACCCTGGGCCTTGCCTCTGGCCTCCATGGGCACCCAGTCTAAGACAGCTGAGCACAGAGCAATGAGTACCCCAGCAGCAATACAGCCAAGGAAAACGTCCTGATTACATGCCTTGTCTTTCGCTACATCCAAGCAAAGAGGAGATGCTACAAACCAGGAACATGAGTCTCGGGCTGAAAATATGCTGTATTTGATTCACTTCTGTATCCCTCACCCGCTGCCTAAGGCCAGGTGGTAAACAGACACTAGAAGCAAAGATTGCCAGACTTTGTCTCACGTAGTTTGGACATGTTATCAGAAGGGACCAGTCCCCAGAGAAGGACATCATGCTTGGTAAAGTAGAGGGTCAGTGAAAAAGAGGAAAACCCTCAACCAGATGGATTGACACAGTGGCTGCAACCACAGGCTCAAGCGTATCAAGGATTGTGAGGATAGCGCAGGACCCGCAGTGTTTCGTTCTGTTGTACATACAGTTCCTGAGTTGGAACCAACTCGACGGCACCTAACAACAAGTATATGCTGCATTAAAGGGAATGAAATAACTCTAGCACCACTCTTCTGCTAACTCCCCTGAGTATTACTGCACCTCTCTGATACTCAGTTTTCCCATTTATAAAGTAGGGATGAAAACAGAACCTGCCTTGTGGGATTGTTCCCAAGATGCAATAAGATAATGTGTGAGTAATCACACTTTATGAACTCTACAGAACTCTACCCAATGTAAGGGCTGAAAACATAGAAAGTTGCCTTTGTGTGGCTACTTGTCAAATGTGCCCAGATCAACATTTTCATGGCTCAAAAGCCATGCCATTTTCTCACTGATAGTCTTCTACTCAGTGAAGTAAATAATATATTCTTGGGACTCAGTAAAGCTATTTTATTTTAGATGAAAGAAAACAACAACAAAACAGTGCACCCCTAAGTAATCTTCCTTTTTCCTGAATTGGCTCCGGTGCAAAGAAGTGCTCCTCATCAACCAAAAAGATTCAGGAATAAATCATAACTCTCCCCCCATCTTCATTCCTTGACATTGAGCAATTGTTTTCTTCCGCGGCTGGTAACAAAGGGACTTTTCTTGATGTCACATATGTAGCTAATAACTTCTTTGATATATTAACACTTCAAGATTAACATTAAAGCACTCCATTTTTTGTAGACAACTAAGAAAATGAAGAAACTGGAAAAAGACACAGCCACGTGGAAAGCCCGGTTTGAGAACTGTAACAAAGCCCTCTTGGACATGATTGAAGAGGTGAGCAAATTTCTCACATAGATTGGTTTTTCCCCTGTTCGCTATGAGTCCAAATCAACTTGACAACCTCAGGGTTGGGGGGAGCCAAAATATTTATAGAAAAAAATTATAAAATACAAATGATTGCATTTGAAAAAAAAGAGCTGAATTTCTTTGGGACATGACATATTAAATTGTAATAAAATTAATAAGAGCAAAGGTAATTTAGAAAGGAGCCCAGACTTACAAGGTACTTAGGGACACTAAGGCACAGGCTTTACTTACTGATTCAAAAGCATGTTCCAGAGCAGCACTACTCCACTGAACTACGAATTCCTTGAAGGTAGGAAGAGTGTCTTATTTGGTTTTGAATTTCCCTGGAGCAGGGCACATAGAAGGTACAGAATAAATTAACTGATATGAATGTACAGACAGAAGATACCAACCAGTGCAGGCACCCACAGTACGCGCTCTTTTATGGATAGATATACAGATATATTTTTTAATTCCTCCAACAAGCATTTAAATACTGATATTATGCCAGGCACTGAATAGGCTGGGCTTACAGCTTAAAGGTAAGGGTATCTTCATGTAAACAGGCAAAAAGAGTCTTAAATGTGTTTATAGGGTACAGAGTAGCACAAAGGTTGGGTGGGGGTGAGATGATGAGAACCAGTTTCAAGCACAAACACACCAATATTTCTAGAGAAAAGAAATAAAATTGAACAGTTTGAGGTGCCAGCATCATAGATTACGTGTGTAGTGAGTTTCTCTAGTTATAATTACTGTTCTAACAATTTATCCCAAATTGCAAGAATTCCAAAGAGATATGCTTATTATTCATCAACACATAAATGCAGATGTTTGCTGGGATGAGCATTTAGCAGCTTATCTACAGAACAGCAGATAAGGCCTGGCTGTGAAGGTCAAGTCCCAGTCCTGTCTTAGTCATTTTGCCACAAGGCTTTGCTCACCTCTGCTAAGTCTTAGAAGCAGAAGATGCTTCTACTTTAAGATTTTAGAGGCTCTCGACAGAAGCAGAAAGAAGCCTTGCCATCTTTATTTTGTGAAAAAAAAAGAATGTTGTTGCTGTTGCGGTTACTTGCTGTCAAGTTGATTCCAATTCACGGCGACCCCATGTGTGCAGAGTAGAACTGTGCTCCATAGGGTTTTCAAAGTTGTGGCCTTTTGGAAGCAGATTACTAGGCCTGTCTTCCAAGGTGTCTCTGAATGTGTTTCAACAACCAAACTTTCGGCTGGTAGTCGAGAACTTAACTGTTTGCACCACCCAGAGACCTCAAGAAAAGGTTACGGTAATCAAAAGGATATGGCAATTAGAATGAATGTTCCCAGAGTCTCTAGCACATAATGCAAAAATGAAAGTGATATCCTGACCAAGGGTCTGTCCAACTACCACTCTGTGGCTGAGGCCTGGAGCCTCATAGACAAATTCCAGCACAAATGGTTTCGTTTGTCTCCAGAGAACATCCTGACAATTGTGCTCTTCATGCTGTTGTATGTGTGTGTTTGTTTTCAAATCACAGAAAGCGCTGAGAGCGAAAGAATACGAGTGCTTCGTGATGAAAATTGGGAGGCTGGAGAATCTCTGTCGAGCTTTACAAGAAGAGAGAAATGAACTTTACAAAAAAATTAGAGAAGCGAAAATGCCTGAAAAGGAAGACCCTTCCAATGAAGAGCCAGAGTCAAGTGTGTCTGTGAATGAAGAGGTCAATGCAGAGGCCAAGAAGGTAGAAGAAGCTGTGAAAAATCTGGCCGCAGCCTTCATGGTAATTCATCATCCAGAGTCTGCCTTTGACCAACTCAAAGCAATCCAACCAGAATTAGGCAGCCCTCAAGGAGGCAGTGTCATTGCCCTCAAGGAGCCAGAACAACCCCCTCTGTTTCTTTCATTCGAATCAGAGAGCCCCCTGACTCCCCAAAGTCCTCAGGCTAAGGCCGAAGGAGGTAATGAGGCAGAAACTCTCCCCAAGACCATTGACTCCCAAGCTGGGGGAGCAGAGGTCTGTGGTGAGGGCCTCGCTGCTGGAGCAGAGGCTGATGAGCAACCCCAGAAGCCAGAGGCAGAAACTTCTGGTCAGACCCCACTGTCCCCAGCCCAGGCCTCCCTACCAGTGATGGAGGCAAATGGTCCTGCTCCAGCACTCCCAGCAGGTGAGGAAGTTTTAGCTGGAGTGCCCGGATGTGAGCAACCCCCACCACCAGCAGCTGGGGAACTGCCAGCAGGGTCTTCAGCAGGGCCCCAGCTGCCCAAAGTGGCTGACACCAACCTGGAGGGAGTAGACTAAGCCTCATCATGCCCTTTGAAGCTGTTCTTCCTGACTTTGCACCTTCACATTACAGATCTGAAAGAGATATAAAGGGCTAGGGATGTCAGGTGGAAGAGACTTAATTAGGATCAAGACATTTTCAAATGTTGTGCAGAGCACATTCAGCCTGTGCCCTTTGTTCTCAATTTATAAGTGATTTGGAGCTTTTCTATTTAACACTTGTTGGTAGTATGATTTTCCCAAATGGCAACAAAAAATAGCAATAGTATATTTATATTAATTTGCCATTAAAAAGGTACTTAATTCAATTTCTTAAGACCTGGTGTTTAAAGACTTCCACTACAATATAAAAACATTGAAAAATGTGATGTTCTAGTTATTTCCACACATCATATAATAAGTTTCATAATAAGTAATGGATATCTAGGTTCCATTTAAACACTACATACATAATATAGACACGTGTGTGTGTGCAAAAGTACACATATGTATATGTGTGCTAATATATACATGTGTGTATGTGTATGAATAGATATATATGTACATATATTATAAACATATACAGATGTATATGTTACTTATATATTTCTATCACCCTTTTTTGGATTCGTCTCTATGCAAAATATTTAGATGCTAGTCAAAAAATCATCTTTTACTTACACTTGGGACTACAGTAGATTATCAAGAAAAAGCAGGTTCAGAACATATATATTTAGACCATTGGTATGTTGGGCAAAAATAAGTAACCCAAAGGAAGGTCAAACAATTCAACCAGTTGATCAAATGACGGTAGAGACTTTGACATGTCTGTGCAAAAAGCCTGGACACAGAGATGGCCAAGAGGCCCTCAGCAGGAAAGGGGATAGTGCAGCTATAGACTGGCTGCAAAGAAAGGGTTGGGAGCAGAAAAGGGAGCTAGAGGATTGAGAGTTGCGGAGCCTCAGACTGGAAGAGGCTGTGCTCTGGGCTCCTGCCTCTATGCTAGAGCTGTCTCAAGACAGAACATTCACCTGACCCTACTAGCTCCTCAGTTTACTGCCTCCCTTTCCTCTGCAGCTCCCTGCAGAGGGTCCCCCACCACCTCTTGGTACCACTGCCCCAGTCTATATTCTCAAAGCATCCGCTCCTTCTTACCAAACCCCTTCTTTGAGGCAAGAAATTACACCCAGCTCTCATCTCAATAAACACTAAATAAAAGCTGTTATTTCTCCAAAATAGAATCCACATAAGGCCTCAATATGAGCGATGAGGCATATTTTCTTCTTTGAAGAATTCTCTGTAGGCCTGAAGTACAAAGCAGAGAACAAATGGGCCCCTACTCAAAACGACTGGAAAAATAGGTGACGATTCAGGAGAAAGCACAAGCTAGAAACATCTGGTGTTTTCTACATGACTTTTACATTATTACTGCTTAACAAGATCTCTAAAAATACTGATGGCATAAATTACTCTAGCCCTGGTGGCACAGTGGTTAAGCTCTCGGCTGCTAACTGAAAGGTTGGTGGTTTGAACCCCTACAGTGGCTCCATGGGAGAAAGACCTGATGATCTGCTCCTGTAAAGACTACAGCCAAGAAAACCCTATGGGGCAGTTCTGCTCTGTCACATGGGGTCACCATGAGTTGATATCAACTAGACAGCACCTAACAACAACAGGGTAAGAGAAGAATGAAACAATGCAAACAAAAGGCAGAGAGATAGAAGGGGAAGAAGGAAGGAAGAAAGGGAGGAAGGGGGAGAGGGAGGGAAAAAGGAAAGGATGAAAAAGGTCTAACCCAAGCCTACATTAAAGTTGAACACAAGTAGGAAAATGGATAAAAGCAAGATTCTCTGTACTCACCCAGGAAATCACTCTTTGCTGTTGCATGTGGCTGTTCGCCAAGGCACGCAAAGCGCCTGTCGGCAGCAACCATATGCTGCAAGAATTATAAACTGCATAAAATTTGTTTGAAGTAGACAGTGAGGGTAATGACAAAAATGCTAGTCATGAAAAAATAATCAGGAAAAAAAGCATGTCATTATTGGAGAACCCATATATTTTAAAGGCTTAAAATATTGTAGCCACGGGGTATGCAGCCAAATTCAGCATTTTTGGAAATCTTAGACATGTAAACGTTCACTCAATTCAGAGCTAAATATTCACCACAACAATCCATGAGGGTCTCCTTTCTCACTATTTACAGAATCTGAATTTCCAAGAACAGTTATATAATCTTGGTAAAGTCTCAGTCTGAGTGTTTAGCAAGAGAAACTGATAGCAGAGGAGCCAAAATCCAGTAAACTGAATATTCTAACACCCATTTGTTTCATCCAAAAGACTTCCATAGCACCACTTATTCACTACCATCTATATCTGAAGCAGAGTTTCAGACACAATAACTTGCTTAAAATTTGCAAAGCTTAGTATAGACTTTTGTCTCCAAGCATGTTTTATTACAGTCCTTTGTGTTAGAATTTGGCCTTATGAATGATGACAATAACTCTCAAGGTCTGAGTGAAGAAGGAATCTCTATTCTTTATCCTGTTCACATAACTATGTCTAGACATGCCAAGTCTACTTTCCAGAAATACTGGAGTTGTTGGTGTTTTCTAAATTAAATAACTATAATTCATCTATCTATTAAAATGATATTTCTCTTCCCAAATTCTCTAGTAGTGTTTTTTTTTTTTACTTTACTTTTTTTTTTCTATGTGGTGGTACAGTGGTTAAGCACTCAGCTGCTAATGGAAAGGTCGGCAGTTCAAACCTACCAGCTGCTCCACGGGGGAAAGATGGGGCAGCCTGCTTCTGTAAAGATTTACAGCCTTGGGAACCCTATGGAGCAGTTCTAGTCTGTCCTATAGAGTCACTATGAGTGAGAACGGACTCGATGGCAATGAGTGTTTTGGGGAGGCACCCTGGAGGCATAGTGGTTAAGAGCATGGCTGCTAACTAAAAGGTCAGTAGTTTGACTCCACCAGCTGCTCCTTGGAAACCCTATGGAGCAGTTCTAGTCTGTCCTATAGGGTCACTATCAGTCAGAATCAACTCGACGGCAACGGGTTTGTTTTTTATTTTATTTTTTGGTGTGTTTCAACAAGTGCCTAACAAAGATTATGGTTTAACTCTGTTGTTGGATGAATCTTTGATCTCTGAATAGGATGTATATGAGGAGCTGGAAACAGAATACCCAGGGCTAACAAGAGAGCAAAGCCAGATTCCTCTGCTTACCATCCAGCTGCCCGAGGGCAATTATCACACCGCCAATCAAGCTTGGCTAAACCCAAGGGCAAATCCTTCTTCCTGCTGAATTTTAGAGCCTAAGATTTCTACTTACAACAATGTCTACCTCACTTTAACTTTGAAATTTTTTTAAAGTGGTATATGAAAACATTCAATTACCTCATGTCATAATTATAACATAGCTATGTGCAAAAATCATTATTTCAGAACTGAGTGCCAATTGATAAGGTCTTAATGTCATATAACCCAAAAGCCACCACAGAAGCCAAGCAGAAGACATTCTGTTAAGAGAAGGAAAGATGGAGAAAAAGAAAGGCTGTCGATCTGATAGTTATCATACAAAAAGAAAAATAAAAAGATGAGACTTAAAGACTACTAAGAGCAATAGGACTAAAAGACACGTAAATTGATTTACCCTTCTGTGAAAGCAGTACTGCAAAAAGGGCAAGGACCATAAGATGTTAATACAATTCAACAGCACAGCTCCGCCTGGGGAATTTTTACAAACATATTTTTCAGTGTTGTTGCTTTAATGCCTTTCTTCTCAATTGTCTTTCTTTTCCAGTATTACACGCATTCTTTCCAGTAGAAAAACAATAAAATTACAATATAAAACATTTAGAAAAGAGAAAAATTACCCATAATTCCATCACTCTAACTTAACCACTGTCAGCATTCACTATATCATAGTATATTTTAAATAATGTAGTTGTCTTTTTTACTTAACATTATGTTAGTTTGTCTTTGGGGGAGGGCACAGTTGTTCAATTAAGAATAATAGCTATTAATAGCTACCAGATTTTAATTTTTATATTATGTATCTAAATTTTATACACATTGCCATATGAATATGGAAGTGTACTAAGCTATTTATAGAATAAATATGACTATGCAGATACAAATAAACAACATACGTACACATTGTTTAAAGAGGTTATTCCATGCATTGCACTTCACCGTTCAACTACACGTATGCAGGTTTCTGTGTAAACCTGCTAGACATAGTCTAGAATAAGATGTCTAAACTTAGCACAGCAAGAAAAATAAAAATAAAAAACCAACTCTAGAGAAATACGAATGCAGTAAATAACAAAACAAGGGAAAAAGTCTAACTCTTATTTATACATGACAAAAAAGATAGTACCATAAATCATAGCACTGGCTAGAAAAAGGTCACAATTCTAAAACAAATCTAAACTCCTCAAAATTGATGAGATACTTGTGGTCTTGTTGCACTAGTAGAGTGATGTTTACCATCTCTATTAAATTGAGGGCAAGGACCAAACACCGTTGTGAGCCTGAGATTGCTTTAATATAGCTACCAGGCAGATGCAACAAACCATGTTCTATTCAGGGGTCCCATAGACTAAGAAAATTTTAAAGTCAAAGTTGAAATTTATAGAAATAGTATGACAGGATGTCTCTCGTCATACCTAAAGTCATGAGGTTAAATTTATGTTCAGTGGGAATACTGACCAGTGTGACACTACAGGCCAGACATATTCGAATATAGTGAATGCTTTACCCAAACCAGTAGAATTGCTCACAGTCAGACTATTGCAATGCTCTGGGTAAAGAAATTCATGTCTAATTCATTTGTTCCCTTAACATTCTTTTGTTGTTGTTGTTGTTTGTTTTTTTATTGTGCTTTCGATGAAGGTTTACATAGCAAATTAGTTTCTCATTAAACAATTAATACATATATTGTTTTGTGACGCTGGTTGCCAACCCCGTGACGTGTCAACACTCTCCCCTTCTCGACCTTAGGTTCCCCATTTCCATTCATCCAGCTTTCCTGTCTTATCAAGGAGTTATTCCCTGGAATAAAATCACTCAAGTCTGTTAAAGATTCTGTCCACAGAGAGTCCCTGACACAGCGAGAGAAAAGTGTGGAACAGAACAGAACTCAAATTCTAGTAAAAAG